TTTATTTCGAACCAAAGAAGACTTCACAGAACTGAATAAAATGAATGTATAATTGAAGGGAAGCAAAAGGCTATTGCCATAGGAAATACGCACAGAAGCTATGTTCCTACACACACCCGTAAAAATGTTACACGTAATTCATATTTTCGAAACATTTCTTCTAGTATTTGAAAAATGTACACATTTCTCCTGCTCGTGACCAACTGTTGTAAATTGTCTCTAGTTTTGTATGATTGTTGACTGTGCACAACAGTTTAAACATTCATTCCCAATTCGTGTACTAAATATTTCCCAAACACTAGGAGGTGTAAGCATGAGTCTTTATTTTATCTAATGTAAAAATCAGCCTTATCGAACAAACACCCTTGTTAATTAACTGTTATCGGATCGTCTGCAATCCTGTACAATATATATTACCGCCAACAACTAGGCTTATTGTGACATGTTTATTCAATTACGTTTGTAACACCAAATAAAAACCGCACTTTCCCCTATTTGTCACACTTTATATATGTAGATCACCACCGTAGATGATTCATATCGAATTATTGGAGGCATATTCGAGTTATATGGGGATGGTGTGACGAACCAGCCAACTTCGAAGTCACACCTCGCGGTCAGCATCTAACGTGAATTGTAGAATTATGGTCCACTATGATGTCAGTACTGCTGTAATAATAGACCTAATCCTTAAGTTGCAGATTTTTCATGATGTAACTGCCTGATCTATAAGATCTTACGTGGAAGTCACATCATTGTCTACACTGACTCATCGTATCGTAACAGTTACCAATATATGATGGAGAACACATTCAGGCTGAAGATAGAACAACATATTTAATGTGAGTAACAGCAAGTTGTACAGAACGACTATGCCTGCGAGGCCGAGCCATGCCATCCGATCAACTGGAATAAATTCAACTCATTCTTTCCGCCTTCCCCATCGTTGGGTTTTTCTCCACGTTAGATCTTGAATATCTATTTTCTCAGTTGTCCCGTATTCATATTTGAGGATTGTGTGGTTAGGGCCCAATGCCGCTACAGGATTATTCCTTTGGCGTATCAAAGTACTATGGCTGCTTGGAAGACCGTATAACACAAAGGACGTTATTATGGAAACATGTTAGTAGGAATGAACACAAAGAAGATAGCGAGACCACCACCGTACGAGCCAGTTTATGACATACGACCAACTGATGAGCGTTGGTTGTCCTTGATCTTGACGAGGATCGATGATTTGTTTGATATTCAGTGACCCTAATGCCGGATGATTTGACTAGGTCTCAGTGAGATTTCACTTGCCCTACATATATAACCACACTTCTATTCAATATCTATCGTTTCACTGAAGCAATTGTAAAGAAAGAGACATGATTGTTCGGTTATATGCACACACATTACACACATCACATTATTGTTAACATTCAGAAATGTTAGATCGGAGCTGACTCACGGGACCTATTCAGGAACACTATTGATGCGCAAGGTATTCGCCTACTGTAGAACAAACTAGTGGCCATTTTGGATTACCCAGAAACGACCGCAGTCAAACGGTTACGCACGTTTGAGCTCACGGTAAGTTTTTATCGACGGTTCTCATCAACTTACCCGTCTATCATAAGACCCTTGACAGATCAACCACGCGGGGATGCGAAATTCACCGATTTGTACGACATTCCCTACAGTTAGGGAAATTAGAGTTAAAGCAACGACGCGTGTACACAAGGACATCAAAGAACTCATTAATGTCGCAGAGGACTATTCGGACTCAGCAATCAAAGGAGTCTTGTGAAAATGGGTAAACAACACCTGTCAACGTTCAGCATTATTCTCGAGACGGTCGACACTGAATCGAGGTATAGCATTTTCAGAAAGGGATCACAAGCCATGTACTGTGCTGTTGACGCTTTCATCTTTATATAGAAGGTCAGGAATTCGCTCTATTTATGAATTGTAGAATGCTTACTTTTTCTCTAAGCCCGAATTCAGACAAGCATTCCCGTCATGAGTCTCGACAAGTTGACTATATTTCACAGATCATTTCAGATATAAAACATATTTCGAGGATAAACAATGTAGTAGCAGACGCCTTGTCTCGTATGACCTGTTAGAACAGTTTCCAGGGTATCGACCTTCTCAAGCTCTTCCTTATTCAAAAAGAAGACATTGATGTTCAGTCCGAGTTATCTTCGACAACCTTGGAACTGTGTATTTAAACATATGGGAAAAAGTAAAGAAACTTTGAAATGTGACACATCTAAAGGTATGGATCGTCCAGTCTTACCGGGACATGATCGACGCAATGTCTTCAATACGCTGCACAACCTTTCGCATACAGGTGTTCGAGCAAGCATCATGCTCATCACATAACTATTTTCCTGACCTGGTATGAACAAAGGCGTAAAGAAGTGTGCACGCATCTGTGTGAGCTTCCAGAAATTCAAGGTGATTAGACACGACAAATATCCCTCAGGCTCATCTAAAACTCCAGACACTCGTTTTGACCATGTTCATCTGGATTTGGTAGGACTCTTACCAGATTCAAATGGATACTCTTACGCCTTAACTTGTGTAGACCACTTCACGCGATAGCCAGAAACAGCAGCATCAAGGACATTACTACTGATAGAGTGGCCTGCGCTTTCGACAAGCGGTGAGTAGCAAATTTCGACTGCTCTTCACCTATCACTACAGACCGTAGACTCTGGTTCGAATCTGGACTTTTCCTTTGTCTTGCTACACTACTAGGAATCACAAAATTCCGAACAACCACCTTCCATTCACAGGCGAACGGGTTGTTAGGACGCTTTCATCGACAGTTGAAAGCTTCACTCTCAGCAGTAAATGCTTCACAGTGGTTTGACGCTATTCTGCTCGTTTTATTTGGCATTCACAATGCAGTGAAAGCTGACATTGGATTCACTGCAGGTCAACTGGATTAGGGAACGGCATTTCGACTTCTAGGAGTATTCGTAGGTCCTTCATCCTCAATGAATGAGGATCCGAAATCCTACTCAAGCATGGATGAAAACGCCGGGCGTTTGGTTAAACCTGTTTCCACTCGATAGCAGTCAACGGGTGTTCTCGTTCGACTCGACTTACAACATGGTACACACAACTTTGTATGTCGCGACTCATTACGACGACCACTCGGAAAGGGTATACGAAAGACCTTTCAAAGATCCACGTCACAAACCTAAACACTATATAGTCGGTAGAATGGAACAAATGGTAACGTCAGCATCTACCGTTTTAATGTTGTTTATTTAGAGGGAAACCGTAGTATTGTTGATATTCCTACGATATTCTCGAACGACACGAGCCTCATAACTACTATACATCACCCGATAATAAATAATCACGAAGAAACTACTCTGATATCTGACAACCGGCCCAAAAGACCGAGCTCTGGAAAATAGATAAGGTTTCCTGAACACTTGAACAATTGTTGTGCGTAGAATACTGTACAGCATTTTGTTATATTTCAATTTTTTTTATTACTTTATGAAAAGACCCAAAACGAACATCATTTTTTCTAATATACTCACATATGTGTGTATATTTGTTTCCTAAGAAAACGCGAAGACTATAATTATGCAAAAATGTTTTTACATTACAGTATGGTAATAGTGTGCATGTATGTAGTGGCATTGGTCCCAACCACACAATCCACAAATTTGAACATGTGATAAATGGGAAAATGGCCATTCAACAATTAACATGAAAAGATAATAAAAATTAGGTATTTACACGATGACAAATACACAATTTAGGTTCAGTATTATGGCGATAAAAATGACGAACTAGACCACAATTCTATATATATACCAGTCTACTTTTCTTATTCTCGTCCGTTTTGTGTCGTTACTCACGTGCGAGTGTTTTTCGATACGCACTTAAAATTTCTTTGGCTTAATTTTGTAGGATGAAGCGACAAAAAACGACGAATAGAAATTTTCATTGGATACTTGTCATTGTTGTGTTGTAGCACATGGCCCCGTATATTAGGGACGGACGACCAGACACTGCTGAACATGGCAAGCTATTAGATAAGTGATTACCAACGACAGGCTCGTTGAGCTTAAAATTGTGACCGTCCACGTCTTGTGGTCATCACAGCCATAGTTGATGGGGAGTGAGCTGTAGCGGCTAATAAATTCCCGAAAGAAATAGTTCTGTAAATGTTCGACATTGATGGTCACCGTACTAATTTTACTGGATGTGCCTAGCCGAAGGCGCTCGGTCACTCATCTTCACCAGATCGCTAGTGAATACGTCTTGGCACTCTTTCCATTTAACTGCCAACCTACCTAGATCAAAAGCTTCTCGGTATGTCGTTAGCGTTCCATATGTATTTTCGAACTCCATCATTTTTGACTTCTGATTTGGCTTAGTTGGCATACTACGATTACAAAGATGTTACGCGTAGAAACATTAACAAACTCCGACTACATGAGGCTTATTTCTGTGCTTTGATGACTGTACAACACAAACGACATTATTACAGAAGTACATTAGTAAGAGCACTGTTACTTCTTAACTGCGGTGGTGTCATTACACATACCTGAATGATCTGGCAGGCAGTAGATACGAAAAATGCCTAAAACATAAAATGGAAAATATACAGACGTCATAGTGAGCGAAAACAAGATGTTTCTAATGGAGCACTTGTTTTCCGAACCTTATTAAATATGACAAAGGGATTTATACATAGTAGTTTAAACCACGTTTTGGAGTCATTAAAAGAAATCGAACAAACGAAATGACATCTCGAAAGCTATAAATAAGGATGGAAATCGTTCACAAAAGAAGACCAAAGTAATCATCCTTGCAGGGTCTCATCAATAAAAACCAAATTAGAGGTTTTATACATAATAATCCACTACATATCAATTATTTCAGCGTTTACACAGTCTTGAATATATGTGATCTAGGTCTCAGGAAAAATATATTAATTTTCAGTTCAGTTTCCTTTTGTGACGATCATTTCTTATAACGATGCACAGAGATTTGTAAGGTTGGCCCCGCTGCATTCAAAGCTTGGACTTGTTGTTAAATTCTGTGTGAGGTCTACATATGTCGGACAGAGACACTGCATCATTGCTCAAATTCACGGAGAATGTGCTTCAAGATTATCGCAGTCTTATTTCAGAAACAAAGCGGAGATTTGTTCCTATTAAAGAAGTAGTCACATTCAAAATTTTGACATTTCTAGGCAACTGAATCACAAATTCCTAAATTAAGAGCTATCATAAACAGTGACACTGAACTCCGTGGAGGTTAGTTATTATTTTTATTGCTTAATCATTGAATAGCCTTACAGGGATCGTGCAGCTCTCTAATTTCTCCATTTTTAAATGGTTGCCTTTCGAAAAACCAGAAGATAATAGTATTGTGTCTAACGGCACTTCAGCGTTTCATCAATCATAGGTGTTTATCAGAGGTAAATTATTTGTTGTCTTTAACTTGTTCAGGATGCCTCTGAAGCTATCGTTAGTACACTTTGGCAGCTTGCGGAGTCGAATATAGAGGAATTACGCCTACTTCAGACGACCATATTGCTTCTCACAAGCTCATCCTTGATACGTGGACCTCAACTTGCGAAAGTAAATCGTACACCCTGAACATTTTTTTAATATTTTCGAAACATGCTGATATGGACGCCATTAGCTAGGTTTTGATAACCCAATTACATGTGTTTGTGGTTGTGTAAATTGTTAATGGAGTCCAAGTTAGCATGTACCTCTTTTTAACATTCCCGTATTTGTGTTCTCATGGTTTTCTGATTTACTTTACAACTAAATGAAAATCTTTATGCAGTGAATATATTAACGGCTCGTGGACTGCTTTTATTACTCTTGCCATTAATAACCATAGCTAAGCAGGTGATATAATTGCTGTTCATGATAATTAGAATATGATTATTTTTTATCTCCATCTGATAAGCACAGAGGAATGTCATTAAATGAATCGTCTATAGTATCATCCTAATATCAGGTTTTGTCAGCTCTGAGCTTTCCCACGCACCATTACCATCTTATTTGTCTAAACAACAAAAATATATCCTAATTAAAAAGTGGCATAGGTTTGCGACATTAGTGGCTACATATTGATAGATCTGTTGATCATACAAACGGGATATGAGTGTAGAAGTCACTGGCTTTAGATTATAAGTGATCAGCGGTCAGATAGGACCATTTAGTTTTTGTATTGTAAGGTATAATTTTCTTATGGTGTTACTATGTATTCTCATCTGGTTACTGTTCTCGCTATTCCATCCTTAAGGTATCCTGAAATAATTTGGGTCTACAGAAATCACTTTGATCGAGTAAGTTAGGATAGCACCAAGTAAGACGTTCTACTTGTACACACTTGCTACAAAATTAGTTTGTTAACTGGCACTAAATATTACTCTGTAATCTTGCCAATTTCAATTCACTAAGCTATAAGGAAGATCTGATGTGCTCAGTCAAATTTGAATAAGTAAGCGCAGTTTGAATTCCTGAACATGCTTTGAAAATAAGTCCTTAAACCATTAATGTGTTATTTCTATGCTTGGATTCTAAAACTGTCTCCTTATTTTTCTCTTAGGCCTTCACCATTTGTTTGAAGCTTCATCTTTCGAAGTCACCTTCCACTGTAAACACAGCAGCAGCAGCTGTTCGCCAATGTGCAAGTGCTATTTTTGACCGTGTGTTCAAGGAAGAGTTGATCATACAACCTACGGATTCCAGTAAACAAAAAGCTACACGTAAGTTCAATCTTCTCCAATTAGCCAGAAAATTGTGATTTTCGGGACTATAGTTATTAGTATTACAAAAACCGTAACTCAAAAAAAGTATCATCGGATTTGCTGCATTCTGTCAGATACTTCCTCTAATTTGTTCTCGAAATTACATTAGCGTTTCCCAGCGAAAATGAATTGTTTCTTTAGTTCATTTCTTATATAGGTATCACTTTGACTTCCACTTCCTTGATAGTGTTTAATATCGGGCTCTAGTAATTTTTTATATTACGTTTTACACTTTCGAAATTTTAGCCGGAGTCGACGATATTCTTCCTGTTAACCCTCTGGACTTGAAGTCCTCTGAAAGGGATGCCTATATGCTTTTTCAGGTAAGCAGTTCCAATCTCGATCGTTTGTAGTTAACGCCTAACACTTCCAAAGATTTTGTTTGATGCATATATCACAGTTGTTAGTTTATTTAAGCTGTATGTCGTTTATTGTTTTACTGTACACGTTTGATATACTTCTGTGGATGGTATTGACTATAGTTTACTTCCTGTCCTTTACATGTACAAATTTTCTATAGATAATCTTGAGTTTAATTCATAATTCGGTGGGCTTGTTTTTAGAAAATCTTTAGTACTTGTGGCAGTAACTAAACATAGGGAAAACCCGACTTTTTGAATCCCGGTGGCACCGAACCTATCTGTGAGTTTTACGGTCAGTTGTCATTAAACTCTATGCTAATAATAATGAAAGATGAGCTTTGTATTTCGGTCACAAATTTTACAATGTAGATTATTGAAATATGGCATTCTTTCCGAATCTGGTGATTACATCATATCTTTAAGTTGTTGAATTTTGACTGACACTGAAAATTTAGATAGACTGATTTAGTTGGGATCTAATGGTTGTTTCATATAAACAAACGTTCCTTGCTAATGTAAAAAAATGTTTTCAAGTAAATTGTTTTTTACCTTGTTATATATACTGGTAATTGATATGAGTTCAATGAGTGTTCACTTGTTTCTGTACATATTAAATCATCAGTAGTTTGTTACCGTTCTGTTAACTTTTCTGTAGGATATTTGCCTACTAATAAGTGACGATACATGTATTTGGTTGTGTGGCACAATACAGATAAATAAAGTCCTGGGTCTGGAGCTAGTTGAATCGCTTATCTTTTCCTATCCTAGTTTATTTTGTCAGGTGAGTTTTAATTTGTCTGTGTTAGTAACTATGCTTTTTGTTGGCTTCTATCACAATTGTGAGGTACATTTAAAAAGCCAACTCTAATCACATCTTTGTCTGATTTCGGCATGCGAATGAGACTAATAATATTTTCAACTCTTATGAACAACGCATACATGCATAGAAAAGTCATGTTCCCGCAGGTCATCCCGATATGTATAGTAATAGTATTTTTGAAAATAAAGTCAAGCATATGTATTATTTTTATAGATATAAGATTCGTTCATATTATGAGTTTGAAGGAAAATGTAGGGCATATCTGTCGTAAATTCTCTTCGTACAACCCAGTTACTCTTATTGATTAACAATCTCGGACGCTACCTCACTCGACAAGTCCCCAAATCAGAACACGGTTGAACAAGAGCGTAGTTATATTCCGAATAAACACGGTTGGATAAAAGTAGGAATCGCAATCAGGAAGACGTTAGTATTCTAGAGTCTTCTACAAGTATCCGCTACCGCTAATTGGTTAAGGAGTAGCCAGTCAGCGTGCCTCAACACATTCCTGCATGGGAAATGCTTTAATCCAATCCATATCCTGCTAACAATATTGATTTATGATGAAGTGATGAGATTGAGATTATTGATGACTGGTTCTCTTCACGAAAACTAAATTCTCAATTGAGACTAGGCTACTGTAAGAGTGTTTCTTCAGCAACTCATTATGAATCATTAACATACTATAGTCGGATGCGTAATGGCTTTTTTGAATATCCTTCCCAAGTGCATCAGGTTTCATATCACTATTATACAAATTTTGTCTGATTGACTGGCTTCAACTGTACCACATCTCAACTTCTTTGTTCTTAAAGTAGTTCAACTGATGTATCATGTGCTGTGCAGCGTTTTTGAGTATAAAAATGAGGACCAAGAGTAACAAAAGCTTGTTCTAATTTGGTTCATAGTGTAGAAATTTCATTAAGAGGCGAGTATTTTACTAGTAAATGCTAAAATAAGTGTAATATATACTGGTCGTAAACTATGAAGATGCGCTGGAGTTAGGAAGAAATAATTGCTTTTTACGTTGTAGTTTTTAGCATTTGTTTGGTCGTTATCGGTTGTCTACTACATACTTGTATATGGTATTTAACCAATGAAGCCTGTTCTTTTTACATTCCAACACAGCATCCTGCTTTTGCATATTTACTGAAAACGAATTTATGCCCACTGGTTATAAAATTATTTTCTCCAAGTTTAAAATTGCACTTAACTCCATTGGCTACGTCTGGTGGTGGGGGGATAACAGATGTCGCCTCAGCTGCGTTCGCTGCTGCAACGGCTGCATTAACTAGTGTCAGTGGAGTGACATCATCGTTGTCATCACTATCATCACCGTCTGGTGTTTCGAATGACGTGATGAATAGTGAAAAACCGAATTTCGCATTGTTTGTTCGTTTGAAACGTTTGGTCATTGTCATCGTCAATCATTACTTCCATCTTTTGGTAAGTTGGGTTAGATTCAACTCTGACGAAATGTATATGTATGATTCAATAACTTCAGTTAACTCAGTTACTCATTCACACTTAATTCCTGTTTGATATTGAGTAAAGTCTTCTACTGCTGTTCCTGATGGTGAGTGGTTTTAGTGTTTCTGAGACATTCGTAAAGAATCAAATTACTGTTATTTTCCTTGCTTCACTCAGCCTTTTTAGTGACTATAAATAAATAATACATTTGTAATATCCCAGTGAGTAGAAAAATTAAATGTTCTGATGTTTCGTAACTTAGTGTAAGCCACTTCTTCGGGGAATAAATAAATAATCAAATCAAAATTAATCCAAGTTTAAATAGTACAAACGAAACAACAAGTATATTATGTTATAATATCTTGGATTACGTTTATATTTTGATCTGTCCGTCCTCTTGAGGATGATTTAATCCACATAATATGTTTATCATATTCACTACTTCGATTTTTATGTTTCACAGTTTTGTGTTGATTTTTTCCACCATTGATAACGTGTTCACAGATGCTGTAGAATGACATTTCCATAACATATGTCCAAAGGCATTATAAATAAATAATTGCATTTTTGCAATAGTCATTAGCCTAGTTTAGTCTCATTTAATTTCTTGAATAAATGCTGTGTTGAAGATTGAACTTTTGTTTTGTTTGGTTCCCAGATAAATAAGTTGCAAATTGTACATGTTTATTATCCAAAATATTTGAAGTTAGGAGTATTCATCTGTATAATCAAGTGGTATCACGTACTTTCTAATCTTTTTCCAAACTAATTATACTTCAACCATCATTGAGAAGTCGTTTTATGCAACGAAAAAAAAAATTTTATAGCCGTTTTAGAAAAAATACCATAATGCTTTCTTTTTGCTGATACTTTAAGTAGTATTCCAATTATTTCTGTTTGGATAGTCAAATTTTTAACATTAAAGAAAACTACTTTTTGTTCTGTTCATATATATTTTTAAAAAAATATTCAGAATACAGAATGTGAAATCTATCTCTCGTTGCTTATACGATTTTTGGATGTGAATAAGTTATTGTGGCAACGTGCATTGGCATTAGAAGTTCTATTTAAAATTGTGGAACAACCTGAATTAGTTAAGTAAGATTCAAACTACTTAATTATACTTTGATATACCAATTTTTTAAAATGTATAATTTTAAACTGAATATTCATTTTATTTCATGGATCTTTAAAGTTAATATATTTGATGAGGTAAACATTAAATCGAAAATGAAAAATATGTTTTTGATTTATCAATCAGGAAATCGGTTTTTTTTTGAAGATTAACATTTTAGAATATAACTACCATAATCAAAGTGATTATGAACGAGGGAGGATTTATGTAAGGAGTATACTGTTCATTGGTAAATCAAAAAGTTACTGAAATTACTTCTTGTAACTGGCCATAAATGAATAGGATTATGTATCTATTTATTTAAACACATGAACATTTGTACACAGAAGCACCACACAAATAACTGAATCGTGTGTAATTCAAAATACTCCCCAAGCGCTCAGATCAAAGCAGATAGTTTTAATAGGGGGCCACATTTTGACGCTTCGACTTGGAAGTCTAATCCACAAGGCAATGGAGCAATGTTGGAAGATTCCACCGCAAGTAAGCCGGTAGCCAATAATAGATTCATACGCCATTTGTCCCCTCAGAATTCTTGATCTCATGTTCATCATCGGTTTGGAGACAGGGTTTTCCAACTCCCTCAAGTGGATGCTCCGTATTCACTAGGTCAGTTTAAGTGCTACAAGAAGGCATTGAGTTGGACTTTCCTGAAGTGGCTTTATACACGTTACCACGTGAGGGCATTTTGGTGTGGGTGGAGGACGAACTATCCTCACTCTCGGCTGCATCAGGATTTGGTTACAAACATGTAAATGGGATTACTTTAAGTATTGTCACTTTATAGTAAGTTGTTTGTAGTAAGATGTTTATTTTTATTGCGTAAATTATCGTTGTTTTGTTATGCATCTTTCACTCTGTAATAATCTTTAATCAAAAGTTTCTTCACTTTCACACACAGTAAATCTTTGAAATATTTACTGTAAATAATGCTTTTCATATCGTAAGAATGAACTCTATTCATCTCATCAACTGAATCATTTTTAACTCAAAAAATGATGGACTTTTACATTGTGATTTTATTCAGTAGTTGGGGTCCTCGATTATCAACCTATACATGTGACTTGATAGTTCATTCAGCTTTTTCCAGTTTGTCCGTAACTCGTCGAAAAATTTGTTTAGGAGTACAAAACTCATTACTATTTCGGATTCCTTTCCTCAAATCTCTTTTTACCACATTTTCTTGAGAATATGTTTAGGGTATGGAAGCTATGGATTCGATTGACAATAAAACCCCTAAAGTATGTAAATCGGCCATGACGCTTTTACGTCGGTCTGTAGAGTATCTTTAGCTTTAAACTAAACTAGTGTTTAGAATTAAACCACAGGCTAACTATTTCTTATTCACTTTAACAGTTCTAAAATCAAACCATTAATTTGTTGATGGATCTGTAATTGTACATTCTTCGATTTACATGTAATTAATCATGCCTGATTTGTACTGTATTTTTGTGATGTTAATAAACATTTCACATAAGACTTAGATGGTTCTGAAATCTTGAGTACTGTAATAACTGAACACCTTTGTATAGAGATTAGTAATCACCTACTATCACAATCGCTCATATTCAGCATTTAAGCATAGTTATTGCCTCTAAATAAATATTGAGTAAACCAATTTACTAAAAATAGTTATTACTATACAACTTATCGATCATTTCATTACATTTTGAATAGTTGAAACCTTTAGTATTGTGATTAACTAACCGTTGGCATCATTTTGTGACATACTATTTTCATATTTTGTTTTGACAATTTGCTTTACAGTTACAAATCTGATTAAAATTTATACTAAGTAGAGAACATTCAATAAAGACAAGTGTTTATCTTCAATCTCATGCTTTTACGGCCAGTCTTTTTAAATAAATATGGACGTTGATTAAATGTCTCGTGAAATATTTTGTCATTTGTACTGATAAATGTATCAAGGTCAAGTATTATTAACTTGGGATCTCGTAGGTACTGGAATTATTATTATGAAGAAGTTTATGAAGACAACATTGATCAAGATGCTTTACATTTCGTTTTAATGTTAAAGGATTTAAGGGTATCAGAAGTAAGTTCCTAGCTTAGGCTTCGTTCATTGGCATTCGTCGACGTGACGTATCTTCAAACACGCGGTAACTGATGCTCCTTGTGTTGTAGTTACTACCCCATCGCTAAGTTATTTGTATTAAGACTTATCTACTGTAGAGTTGGTCACTGAGTCGTAAACAACGTTTAACCTGTTTTTTATTGCTGATCGAATTATTATCGACCAAGTTAAAATGTAGTCGTTTGTCTAAAAAACTCGACAGTGCATAATATTACTACATTGGGTAGAATGTATTTGAATCCTTCAGGGAACATTCGTTTTCCAAGGATTACTGATACACCTTGTTGAAGAGCGCTATTTAACATGAAACCTAGGTCAGTGGCTCTCTGTCGCTTACCTTTGATCACCTAATACCAGGACATACTACATGCTGTTTTGAATCGTGTAACCTAGTAGTTATATAGAAACTTGATTGAAAGTATTCAGTGAACAGGGAGGATTAAATAAGATGGTATATATAATAATGTATGTAACCAACCAATATTTTAGAACTTCTTTCTTTACATGAATTCTTTTCAGTACCTGAATTCTCAATTTATAGAAGTGTACCTCGAGCATTCTTTCGTTCAGTTTAAAAGATAGAGACTAACTCTTGTAATTAGATTACAACATGTGATGTCATTTCCAATTTCTAATAGACTCGTTTACGTTACAATTTGAGTAAAATATGGCATCATTTATTATTTCGCTTCTCAATTTTGCTGTTTTTTAAAGGCATATTTGTATTTCATACGATATGAGACAGCATGCAACAAAAATATTTCATGAGCTTTTAAATGCTTTCGGACAGTACATACAAACATCTTTAGCCAATCCATGTCCAGGTGATGAACTATGTAAGTATTTTCCTTTTAAATGTATTTCTTTTTATATTAAAAGTTTATGGCTTTGTTTGTTGCTCAGTATTCATATTTAGTTTGAATTACATGGTTTTATGTCATGGTATAATTAGAAATTCCTGTCGGTAATGTGCATGTTTCAGGCTTTATCATGAATAAAGTATGAAATCTTGAGTGTCTATTCATCGATAGTAAAATGAATGTTACTATCATAAGATTCGTTTCATGCTTGAAAGAACTCACTCCTATCTGACATTGTTGACCGGAGTTGTTTCAATTATCATTTGGATGGAAGTTTCAGTTTATTTGTATGAATAAGTAGGGAAGATCTTTTGTTATCAATATTCACTGTCAACGATCTTATGGTTCTATTCTAAGTCAGTTAGGTATAATCGTTTCATAGGGAAATGGAGATATCCTAAGAGTTGAAGTTGTGTGGTTGAAATGTAAAAAATTGGTATATAAAATAAACAGTATAAAATAACAGTATTTTGAAGATTTCAGATTAGGAGATGTATTTATTCAACCGGGAATTTTTAAAAACTGCATGAAAAACAGATTCATTTATTTCGGTTATCTTGCTAATTGTATTGATTAAATCTAATGTTCCATATCTAAATCAAACCATCAAATTTAAACCCTCGCATATAAGTTCCGTGTCTTAGTCTATCCGTCCACCAGTTTCTTTAAGGAATTTGCATCAGTCTCTCTCGTAAACAACAGTGAACAGACAGAAGTATTCACGTAGCTAAGTTGTCACTCTTCATACCGTTATAGGTGTGATGTCACTTAAAAGCGCTTATTTCGAGGCTTTGGCGACTGTTTTCCATTTTAACTGACTATCAGCTTTAACTTTTCAGGGGAATTTTGACCATGCTAGTAAGTGTTTAGAATGTTTGTTTTATTTGTAATAGCGTCTCAATCAGACATTTTAAGTAGTATCTTTTGGTTTTTGTGTATGAACGAAGTAATTAGTTGGTTGCAGATTTCTTGTTTCTATATCTCCCGCAAAGTTTTTTCTTTTTCTTTTTTACTTACTTATTAAATGTAAGTAGTCAGAAATGTCGTTTTGAAACACATTGAAGTACAGTATATCATAGTAGAAATAAAGATCGTCAATCAGCGTCATTGTTAGTTGTTGTATACCAGTGATACTCATTCTATAATACTTGGTCTTTCTCTAGCTTCTTAGAATCGATTGTTTTTTCCATCTGTTCAGAAAATGTCTAAGGATAAAAATCTTAGTGGAAGTGTCATTTTTTAACTATGTTATAAATTGTGTTCCCTCATAATCATGGAAACTTTCCCTCGCCTCAGTGGATATAAAATTCGATTGTATTTTTCTACTAACATAATAAATAAGTCCATGAAAAGAATTTTATGTGGAACTATTCAAATCAATATCTAAAACATGAATTATCTTGTATATTTCCAGAAACAATAACACATCGAATTAGAGCAACATTATTAATTTCAATTTTTTTCCGTAAATATTGGGTTGATACCTGTTATAGAGTACTGAAAACCTTGTCTTGATTCCGATTACATTGATTTTTATAGGATGAAATATTGGAAGATAAGTCAGTCAATAAGCGGAAAGATATATGCCAGCAACATGAGTTATTGATCGATGCCTGATTCTCCCTAAGAATTTACATTATAAGGCATAAAGCAAGATTCATAAGACATTCCTATCGATTACATGGAGTAAACATCCCGTCTAAACTACATATATGTCGAGCAACGGAACCTACTTATTTAAACAGTCCTCTCAAATATTTCTGTACTGCCAACAAGGGAATCTTCTATACAGTACCATATTGTTGCCTTTTTTCCCCGTACTCACTTTGCTCGGTTATCAGCTTTAATACATTACGTACTTACTTACTTACGCCTGTTACCCCTCGTGGAGGGGCAAAGACTGCTCACTAACATTCTCTTTCCAACTCTGTCATGGGAAATCCTTCCCAGTTGCTATTCATCCTGTTGATGTCTGCTTCCATTTCTCGACGCCGTGTATTCTTTAGCCTTCTTCTTTTATGTTTCTTTTCAGGATTCCAGATTAGCACTTGCCTCGTGATGCAGGTTGATAATTTCCGAAATATAGATCCTATCCACCTCCAGCTTCTTTTCCTAATTCCCTATTCAGTTGGAAGCTGATTTGTTTCCTTCCACAGTAGGCTGTTACAAATGGTTTCCAGTCAACGCACATTCACTATCTTGCGTAGACAACTGTTTAGAAATACTTGTACATTCTTGATGATGGTTGCAGTAGTTCTCTACGTTTCAGCTCTGCACAGTAGAACTGTCTTGACGTTCGTACTGAAAATTCCCACTTTGATATTGGTTGACACTTATTTTGAGTTCCGTACGTTGTTTTGCCCGAAGAACACATTACGCCGGGAAATGAAAATAGACATGAGAAAAATGAACAAGAATTGGATGGAACTAGAAAAGAAGACCCAGGACAGATTGGGTTGGAGAATGCTGGTCTGCGGCCTATGCTCCATTAGGAGTAACAGGCGTAAGTAAGTAAGTAATGTTGTTTTGCCGATCCTCGCCATTACGTCTGCATCAGATTCTTATTGCCATGAAAGTTGATGTATAGCGATGAGTTCCATTCAATTGATTGTTCAACGGTTATCCGTAGTGTGGCGATTTGGTCTGTGTACAACAGGTCCTTACGGAGTCCGGTCTGTTGATCTCTAAGTTAGGTGTCTACGGAATCTTTCATTGGTATATTTTGGTATCTTGGTGATGTGCCATTCTTTTCAGTTTGTCTGCACTTGTTCCCCATCCCAAATCGTACAAGATAGAATGTGGAGCATGCTTCCATGTCTGACTTCAGCGTTTCAGGTGGTATGTTGTCAGATGCTGCTACTTTTCCACTCTTATTTTGTCTGATGGCCATCGTGATTCCTTCGATCGAAGTATTCTGTCCAACTGAACATCCGTCCTTGAATCTCAATGACTCTCTTGCTTTCTTTGTGCTTGACTGACCTTCCTGGTTTACTATATTTCCCTGCCAATTTCTTCGTCTTGTCATATAATTGTTTCATATTTCCTTCTGTTGCAGCTTTTTCCGCTGTCATTGCTAGCTCTTCCACATATTTCTACTTTTCAGCTCTAATGCTCTTGTTCACTTGTTTGTTTGCTTCTGTGTATTCGGCTTGTGCCTTGACTTTCTCTGTTCTTGTTCGACTGTTGGTAATTACTATCTTCTTACATTGTTGAATCTTGTTCAGTGTTTCGATAGAGATCCATTCCTTATAATGATGCTTCTTGCTGCCCAGGACCTTCTGACATGTTGAAGTTAGTGCTTCTTTGATCCCTTTGCAACTATCCTCCATAGTAGTTTTTTCTTCTTCGAGTAGATCTTACGAGGCTTGGAATCTGTTGTTGAGAGTTACCTTGAATTCGTTGAGTTTGTTAGTATTTCGAAGGAATGCTGTATTGAACCTTTGTAATGCTGCTTGTCCAGTATTTCTTCAGCTTCAGCTTCAGCTTCATCTTGGTCTCAGTCAGGTGGTGATCTGAAGCTGTGTCAGTTCCTCTCCTGGTTCTCACGTCTTCTAGTGATGCAAATATGATCGGTCGTCCATCAGGATGATCAGGTCATTTCCTGGTAACTTCTGTATGATAGATTTCAGTCTTCCGTAAAACTGGTTTTTGTCGTCGTCGTTGCTATCACTGGTTGGTGCATGACATTGGATAACATTCATCGTGATTCCCTTCTTGTTTGTTTTGAATCATGCTTTGATGGCTTTGGATTCATGAGATCCCCACTCAATAAGTGCACTTCTTATTTCTTTGGACAGCATCGGAACAACTCCCTGAGTGTGTGGAGCATTTTCCTCTTCGTGACAAGAGTACAGCAGCACCTCTCCCGTATCTAACCTTTTCCGTCCAGCTTGGATCCAGTTGGTTTCGCTGATTCCGAGCACTGCCAAGTTGTATCTCCTCATTTCCGTAGCTATTCAACTGGCTCTTCCGGTCTCCCACATTGTTCGAACATTCTATGTGCTTACATTAATTATTGCTCTGTTTGTTTGAGAGGTGTCGGCCTCGTGACTTCCGAAAGAACTCGGCTTTCATCATGAGGCGTCATAATTGTTCCTTCAACTCGGGAGGTTGCGTTCAAGTGGTTTAATTTATTTGTTCTGGTTAGTGTCTTTTTAGCGAGGTTGTTTTCTACGGGGCGGGTTTGCCGACTCTATGCTCAACCCTTCTTCTTTATCCGGTCTTCGAACCAACATTAATTCTAGAAGAGCTGCAGGCGGAGTTTTTCATACATTTCATTTTTTATTTAATGGTAACTAACACATTTGTTGCTATAGCTACTGGGATATTGTTCACAGCCTTTTCTTTTTTTTTACCCTTTAAGATCAACTATAAACACAAGCTAATGAATTAATGGATTTTGCTATTATTCAGTTTAGTACTTATCATCCTCAGATTGTTTTTCCAGTTTCAAACAAATAAAGTTATGAGTTAGATTTAATTGGTAGTATTTTGAAGTCAACTATTATTCATTTACAAGTTGTTATTACATTTTGATCCACTGTCTTTAATAATAAATTTGGTTATTTATGACGAAGCTGATTAGAAATTGTTAGACTTATTCGTAATGTAAATCCTTGTATGATTATTTCTGTTTATTATTTGTTGGGTTTAAATCTGTTGACTGAATTTCTTTTAAATAAATAAATAAATAACTAAATGTTTCATTGTTACGAATGACTTGGATTCCTTCATGTGTCATTCATATGGACAATTGATATTATTATCTCTCATATATTGTCATGTCTTTTGGCGCGTCCTATTTACCATCCTATACATAATTATTTTGGATCTTAAATTAATTTTAAAATACCATTCACTTTCGTATCTAACGTTGCAAACGTAGTTGTGGTTCATGTTTTTCCATATTCTCTTAATCGATTACATTTTAATAGCTAAAGATAATGCTAATCAAACACCGAATCAAACGGTTCATGTTGGAGGTATCAATCAATCCATGTTATATTATAAAGGGAGTTATTTTCCAATCAATATACAATCAAAAGGAATGCTGTAAGTCTAAATTACTGTCCATAATAATAATAGTTATTATTATTATTATCATTGTTATTAATTTTTTGGTTCATATTTCCCTTCAATTTAAAACAATAAGACAAATAAATCTTGGACATATGAGCACGTAGTGTTGACCTGCATACGCTGATAAACTAGATGCTGTTACATCCCGAAATAGTTTATGGTTACCGTTTTTGATATTGAGATAATGATACGTAAATCATTCATTTGAAAATCTTTCATTGATAACCATTGGAGTTTTTGTGTAACTCCTGTTTCGATAGCTTCATTTAACTTCTGATAATCCATTCTTCGACTCTACTGTAACAGGCTTCTATCTGTGCTTTACAGTGTGTCATAAACTAATTTTAGCTAAACAACTGCATAGAACTAGGAAGCATTACCGAGTTTCGTCCTAGTATGAGACCTCTCAGAGGCGAGGACCCATGACCCTACTGCTATCGTATTCAGGTGTCGTGACGAGCACTTAACCCTTGGACTATTGAATTGGCGTTTATGTTTTAAATAATGCAAATATGATTTAAAAATATCTGTTATTTATTTTATCCTTTTACTTGTCTCTGTATTTAAGTTGCATTTTCATTCACTTAGATCTATTGTTTTTTGTTTTTATATTTGATTATTCCTTAGTCTTGAGATGCTTGATCGCAATGAAGCACCAATTTTACCTGATGGTTATTGCCTTTCATTGGCTTTAGTATGTCTACGTAAAACAGTGGACTCACTAAAGGTCATCATCAATGCTAATGTTCCTGAAATTATTAATCATGGTGATGATGACATTAATAATAACAATGAAGATAATACATCAAAAAAATATGATATTGTGTTTTGCAAACAAATTGTATCTAATTCATGGTGCAGTATATTATCCACGCTCAGTTTATTACTTGAATCAAGGTAAGTATATATATATATATATATATATATATATATATATATATCGCCTAAAGAATTTCAGTCATCTGGTTCTGATTATGCAGTGAATCTTCATATCCGTTCTACCCTAATCGACTTTTCATACGACTTAATTGTGTACCAAATGACTCAGTAATTCAAAAATTTGATTTCCAGATTTTAAATTTCAAATCACCAACAGATAGTTGCATGCTATAAACAGCCATGTCATTTTATGCAGAAAACATCAAATGTCCTTAATGAATGCTTAGTTATAAATATCGAAATTGTTGTATTTCAGTCCATATTGTTTGAAGAGATCCTTTGGTGGAACTATACTTCTCTTTGGAGCCGAATGAGATTTTTAAATCTTACAGTTAAAAAGAAAATTTGCTCCCTTTAATGTCATAATATTATTAATTTATAATCTTAGTATTAACAGTGGCACAAGTAAAAAACCTTTAAGACCTGAAGGTATGATCTGTTAATATTCAGTTAACTGACGAAAATAGATCCATAGAAATCCTCAAAAAAGAGAACTTACTGTAATATTAATTCAATAATAAAGCTATCTACTAGTGGAAAAAAATGGTTCACAGATCATTAATCATCAAAATGAATAATGTCGCATACATATAAGAGATTTAAAAAAGAAATATAAATTAAGGTTTCAACTTAAAAGAGCCGAATTTCTACTTTGTATAGTGACCATAACTGAATAGCTTAATGATGACATTTGAAATGATATGTTAGCCATTGTTTAAGATATAAAAAAAGATGTTTGAAATAGTTTATAGAACCTAAATTTTTGGGAAATATTCAGGACAAGTTACAAAAATATATCCTTGCGTTATTAAAATTACTAGAAAATTAATACATGTAAAGCATTGACAAGGACTTACTTTAAGAAGGCTCATAGAATAACGTATATCAAGTTGCGAAATTAAATGTTATCTATTAATATGTTTTTTTTTCAAATAATTTCTATTCTTAAGAATAATTCAGTGAATGAAATATCACGAAATAACTAGGCAAGGCTATTGGACAAAAGACATTTATTCAAAGTAGAAGTAACCGGTTCACAATCTCAAATTTTTTAATGCCGATCATAAGATAGTTGTTAATATTTTATAATATATTGAAATAGTGCGACTTTCGTAATCATAAAGTAATGATGTATTTATAATATTCCGATGAGTAGGGAATTGAATTTCTGAAGTCTTAAAATTTGCATCTTCTTGTAGTCAACAGCTGTATAGAAAGTGAACTATCTTCATTTACACACAACTTGAGCGAAGAAATAGTGTTTTTCGTAGTTCTTAAATTATAAACTGATCTTAGACAACCATTGAAATCCTTGAAGCACTGGACGGTCGTTTCATCCTAGTATTTGACTACTCGGAAGTCCGCATTCATGTATACGAATAGTGCTAGCGGGCAAGTCTGATCGTTCTAATATCATGCTGTTCAGATCAAAGGTAGTTAGAGATGCGACATGTTTGTGGTGTATATGGTGATTATAGTAAACTTGATATCAATAATATAAACGATTGGTTCAATTCGTATATGTATTTGTGGTGTAAGTTTTGTTTGACAAACTATCTTATGAGGTAGGGGGAATTAAATATAAAAATTCTTGCCCATTTTATCTTTGAAAATTATTCGTCTGATTGGTTTGATGTGATCCTTCGCTTATTTGGTCACTAAAGGATATAGCCCCACCACCCTTTTATTATTTAAATTTGGTTACTTAAATGTAGTGTAGCGTAGGCGCGTTTTATTGGATATTGGGATTTGTAATTTTGTATCTAAGTGAAGTCAATCGCTGCCCGAATAGCTCAATAACAACGTTTCAGGCTATGAAGCTCGGGGACGCAGGATTGAGTCAACCAGGGAGCATCAGTTACCACGATAATACAGGTACACCTTGCTAAGAGTTCCAAATTGCATGAAATATACATCTAGGGTTTCCTGTCGGTTAATTCCAACCACCTAAAATTTCGACATATTACGCGATGTTCATTCACTTAGATTAATGGCCACTTTGCAATTCGATTAGTATTAAAGGAATAGATAAACATTCGTCAGTCAGTTGGAACTCATTTCGTCAACCATTTATAAAAATAAGATTTTCAAATAACCAGGCTCTAATTTTTCATAAATAAAGATGATAAATTATATCAAATTAATGTCTCAAAGAAAACAGAATATTCATTGAGAATCTCTAATATATTGTCTTTTGTTTCGAGTTTATCGGAACCGTATCATTTAAGTTTATGTTATATACAACTTAAAGGAAGAAATAAAGTTTTTACGTCTCAATGGTGGAAACTGCCAAACTAATAATAAAAAGCTTAGATAATAAATAAAATGAAATTCAGAATATTATTAATTAATTAATTAATCACATCTACACGAAACGAGATATTTCAAGCCATTTATAATATTTTTCTTTCGTTATCCCTAAAAGAATAAATTTGTATCTGACATATAATGTCAATCGAGTGAGTAGACATATAATTCAGATAAAAATTGAGGAAACTGATAATTATTCGCTTTTTCATATCCACTTACATACAGATGGATACATAAGGACATATTACACTATTATCCTTGACCTGAACACTTTTACCTATATGTTTCAGATTGAAGATTACTAGTTTTTCGGGAATAAGCTCTCTTAAATCAAAACTATCTGTTAACATTATTATAATTAGATAACAATAAAAACCATAATATTTACGTTTGAGTTTTCTTACTTAGAAATGAAAATATAAAAATGATGTCTAACAGTTAATTATTACCATTTGAATGGTCTATATTATGAAATGACTCATATAATCAGGTTTCTTTTGTTGCTCTCAGGCAGCTTAGCCAACGAGTAAGTGAAAATCTTCCTGGGTGGTGTGGAACAAAGTTAATATATAGCTCTGTTTTATCACGTTTAGTCAGTAGTGGTAATGTGGCAAATAAATCTAAATGATTCCTAGTGACATTTTACCTGATTTTTAGTAGGAGCTATAGCGATTTGAGGACGACTATATTCACTGTATTCAAAAGAAATTTATGAGATCTGTATCTTTTATTGGCCAAGTTAAAACTTGATAGTCAACTTTGCTCATTTTTTTGAAACCTTTGTGTCCTTACCTTACTTATTTCGTGCCTTTTCACTAGTTATATTTTTAAATAGATTAATCACAGATTTTGTTTTGAGTAATTTTTATTGATTTTTATTTTAATAAGTTTGTCTTCCTAAGTTTTGACCTACTTTTTATGTTGAAATATTTATTCAAACTGTCTTTGTTCTTGTCATTCAATCGTTTGTTCATACATAACATAGAACTTAACAAACGTGAATCGGTTGAAGTTATTGCAATACATTAGCACGGCGAGATGAGATTATTATGACAAATCCCTGTGTAACAGATGTACTAGTACTAATACGTATGTCATCTTTCTGTCATTTTATAGTCTCTACTTATTATCACTAGTTATATAATTTATTCTATTAATCTTTATCAGTGACTCCCAATGTGATTTGATTTGTTTAATATTTCTCATACATGCATATAAATATTACTCATATTGTTTTATTCGCTGATGTGTCGTTCCAACAACATAAATCTGTGTACTGTATCTGAAAAAGTCAGTAACAGTCAAGGACATAGCACAAACACATCCGGTCAGGAATTAATTTGGTCCCTTTTGACAGAGTCCAGGAACTATTTCTCCATATAGTTAGTCAGGCATTGATGCAATGTATTTTTAGGATGAATTACTTAGCTATTTTAATTACTATTTTTTAAAATCTATACTTCATTTGACTACAGTGCTGATCATCACATAACATCAGGTCTTCTTCAGTCTTTGCAAATTATGATTGAATTAAGCGGAAAGTTACAGTTGGATGAATCTCGAGATGCTTTCTCTATAACTATGTGTAGAGCTGCACTGCCGTCTTCATTTGGACGTTCTTTATTGGCAACACATTCTAAAAGTATGTTCTATCATTTGGTTGAATAATAAACCCACTATTTCTATATCAAATTATAAATTAAAGTCATGTTATGAATAGTGATTAACATAGGATCTCGTCCCATGTGTTACTCGTCAGATATATGTATCTGTTTCCTATTGTTAATTTGTCCACTAAGACTTAAATTATTTACCTACCGTTTTAAAAGCTAAACCATTGTACACCGAACTATTAAATCACTTTAATTACTGATTTGTTCAATGAATACAGTATTTTCACCTCCCTATTCGTAACATTCAGGATTGAATTCAATACTTCCATAATTTTTGAACCATGTGTTGGGAATTATGCCTTAGTTATTTATTAAATTACACTAGGGTCTGAAACAATAGTTACTGGGGTTATGAACATTAGGAATATTTGTTCAGCCTAGCTAACCGTTATCAACTAAGAGATACAAATAAAGTCAAAGTATCCATTCAATTAACCCACGTACTAAGGAGAACTAAATAGATGGATTATATGTGAGTTTTAAACGTTCGATTTTATTCGCATGCTAATACATGAACTTGTACTAAATAATTAAACTTTATTATTCATATTCATTGGCTTTAAGATATCAATGCCAAGGTTGGACTTGATAGTTCCAAATAAATTGAGCATTGGGCAGATGGTTAGTAATAAATATATTTTTGTTATATCCCAGTGAATAGGAAAATTGTATCTCTGGCGTTTTGTGACTTAATGTAAGCCACTTCTTCAGAGGGAATTGTATTGTTTCTTCTGTACTATTTAAACTTATGTTAATTTAATTCCGGTTATTTATTTACTCTAAAGAAGTGGCTTACATTGAGCCACGAAATATCAGGAATACAATTTTTCTATTCATTGAGATATAACAAAAATATATTTACTAGTATAGGGGTTGTGGAGATTATTAACTTTTTGATTGAGATCATGAACCGATTGATGTTAGACCACCACAATTGAAAACCTGGAAGCACTGGACGGCCGTTTCGTCCCATTGTGGGACTCCTCAGCAGTGCGCATCCACGTGAGGGAATTCACGGAGTTCTAGTTAGAAGCCGTGACCAGTGAAGCTAGTCCTCGTCGGGTAGAGACAGGTATCTACCTCAGTACAACGGAAGTTGATCGCGCAATTTCGTGGATTAGTTGATGTTAGAAACTAACATCATTGGATGCCGGCTCAGTGGTCCAGTTGGTTAAGCGTTCGCACGCGAGACCGAAGGCCCTGGGTTTGAATCCCGCGAGCGGGATCGTGGATGCGCACTGCTGAGGAGTCCCACAATAGGACGAAACGGCCGTCCAGTGCTTCCAGGTTCTCATTTGTGGTGGTCTAACATCAATCGGTTCATGATCTCAATCAAAAAATATATTTATTATTCTGTAGTTTTAGGTTTTGGTAGCTCTTAATTATAGATAAATGTTCACTGTGTATTTGTTTCTTTTTGAAAAAAAAATGCTTAAGCTTCAATTAATTTCTTGTCAATAATGCAATTTCACTGTTGAATTAATGACAAATAGTTCCATTTGAAATCAATTAATCAAAAAAGGAGTTCGTTTATTACATTATCTCAGTTTTAATCAATTTGTTTTACTAGTAATGTACACATCACAATTATGTAACAGTTATTACTTTTTTTAAAATTTACTATATCATCACTTCTGGATTTGGTTGTGATAACTTCTTTTTTGAAGTGTTGTTGATCAATGAAGGAGAAGGAAACGTTGAAACATTTTTAATTTCGAAACTATCTTTTCAAATTATCTCTTTAACCAATCACTCTTGATTTCCTATATTTATTAAAATTGATAAAAATATATATTTATGGTTTACTTCTGTGTAGATTGTTCGGTAATATCTCAGTTATCTCCTAATTTCAATGGTGCAAATAATCATGATGATATATTTGAACGTAGTGGAATTGCTTTAGTGATTTCTCAAGGTCCTGGCCATACTGTTCATATTAATCCACCTACAAATATCTCATCTATTCTTCAAAACATATCAAGTCAGACTACACCTACTGGACATGTTCAAAGTGGATCCGGATCCACTGGAAATACAGATTCTTTGTCATCTGGAAATATACTACTTACTATTAAACATTTACAAGCAGCTTCTGCTGTTTTAACAACTGCTCATGCACACGGTGATGTTTTAGATTCATCATGGATTATATTTCTAACTACAATGCAGGTATATTCTTCTTTTTTCAACAATCTTACTTTTATCTAGATTATTAAATTTTGACTATTAATTAGATTTTAATATGTGCTAATATTCATCTATATACTCAGTGTATGGTTTTTGCTCAATCGTTGCAATATATCTATTGAGAAAATTTATTAATTGTGAAGAGTCCACAAATATTTTTCGGTAAAGTACTATATAGGCCCATAAAAAGGATAGAAACGTTTTTTCCAGTCAACATTGAATAGGAGCTTATCAGGGAAATCTAGGAAAATAAAGAATTATGTGTTGCTTTTAAATTAGATAATTACTTGTATTGTTGTGATACGAACTACATTCCCAGACGTTTTTTTAGAAGGTCATGGTTATACAAAACTATATAAATGCACTCGATTTCCTGTACATAAATTATTCTTACAGTAAAGCTTTTAATTATATTCTAGACTTTTTTCTATTGTTCATTTTTAGATTTGGAAGTACTCTAGCGTTTTAGTCATTCATTCAGTAGACTTATCATCAGTATTCACAGTATTTTTGTACACTATGTTGTATTCTACGTGTATATTGTTTATTTACACAACATATAGGTTCTTTGTAAATAATTTTAAACTGTGAAATTCGGGCAATGAAGGTAGAGGTGTTGTGTAAGTTACAATTATTTGACCACAGTAGACTTTAAAACATTACTTGTTTTCGGTGCTGAGGTTAAGTTTAGGATCCTAGATATAAGCTCTAAACATTCATTGAATAGGGACATGTATTGTGCACGCTTAGTCACTTCCTTGGCTGAAAGAAAACTAAAGACACATTAATTAATACAAAGTTAGTCGATTAATTCATTTGTCATTTGACTGAACTACGCCTCACATATAGACCATTAGGTTGGTTTGTATGCAAAGTTCGTAATCTATTGTTGATATCGTTAATTTATCTTTTCGAAAATTAGTCTCATTATCAAAATTCCGTCCATTACTTATCTGACTCGAATGCTAAAATTTCATATATTTTTGATTATTTCCCTTTTTTCATATCATTCGTTCGTTTTGAAAATATATTTTTTATGTTTTTTAATACGGTTGATATTAGTTGCCTTTTCTTTAGTTTCGTCACATGTATTAACTCTTCCCATGTGCCACCGGCATGATTTGTAGTAATCTTAACATTTGTGTCAAGTTACACATCGTCTATGACTGCTTTGATTAATACAACTAATCTTAATTTCTAGTTTTAAACACATAAAAGTTTTTTTATCATTTTAACTGACTGATGTGTGCTTGTTTGCTTTTTGATAACAGTTTGACCTTTCAGTCATTAATAATAATAATACTAATAATGATAATTGTAGTATCTGTTATCCATCCTGGCAGCGACATCCCGTTTATGGTCAGGATGGTCGAGCGGTCCAAGGCGTTCAGATAGCGGTCCATTCTGTGAGCGTGGGTTCGAATGCCACTGCTGACACTAAACTTAGCCCTCAAATACCCTGGTACGACCGAGGGTGGGGAGAGTCAGCTCTTTCTCGAAATACTCTCACATGGCCACGCATAAACAACCACTGACTGACTGACTCAATTCCTTGTTTACGAAATTAAGACAACGGAAAGCAAATGTCCGGCGTTTTAACCGGGTTAGTGGACGCGGAGAGTCCACCTACGGAAGTTGGAAAACCCTGATTTTTAACCAATGGTGCACATGGTCTCCAGGTTCTTGCAGGAACAAATGGTATATGAATCAATTATTTGTCACCGGCTACCATGGGACTGCATCTACAATTGTTGCTCCACTGTCTTGCGGATCAAACCTTTAGGCTGAAGGCTCAGTGTGCGACTCCTTAAGAAAACCACCTGCTTCTGTCTGGACACCCGGACATTATCATAGCCCACACACAAATCAAGTGACTTGTGTGGCGCATATGCATTCAGTGCCCCTTTGTACCAATATTTATGTGTTCAGAAAAATAAATATCCATGAGTTTTATTGTTATGATTGTCGATGGTGATAGAATATTACACTCATTAAAGTAAAAAAAACCTCTTTTTAATACATTCAACAAAATTACTTTTGAGAGATGCGACAAATTAAAAGCAGTAACTTGATGCAGAATTCAAAAAGACATGACAATAACTGCGATTTCTTTCCTTTCATTTCTGACATAATGATGAATAGACTGTATTGAATTGCACGTAAATTTGTGTAATGTATTTTCTCTTTGTGAACCGCAATTGACAGTTAGAAAATGGATTATCTATGTAGTACGTACCAGAATGATATATGCGTCTCAATAGTTTATTTCACGATTTTACTGCTAATTGATGCGAAGATTTAATCTAAATGTTTATTCCAAATTTAAATAAATGACAGTTTGTTTTATTCTTTAATTTAATACAAAAGTTAATTTTTACTTTTAAAATCATCAGGATTTTTTTTGACGGTTGTAGAAGAAGATTTCAATGTTTAGTTAATAATTTACCATCATCTATACATTATCCCTGACCATCGGTCATTAACAAACTTTCTCTGGAAGATGTGTGTACATGTCAATATTAAGGATTTTTCTTGCATTAATTGCTTAAAATAACCATTTCATGAAACACATCATTAATCATGTTCCCTCATAAAACGATGTTTTTTGTAGTCTTTAAACTATCTGATATTATCAGATTGGGAGTTTGTGGAGATTGTATTAATTTAATAGTTGGGTTCATGAGTCGATTTCAGGTAGACCACCATGGAAAACCTGGAAGCACTGGACAATGGTGGACGGTCGCGCAATGTAGTGAATTAGTTGAAGTTAGACATTAACACTGTTAGATGCTGGCTCAGTGGCCTAGAGGTTAAGCGATCGTGCGCGGTCCCCAAGTTCCTAGGTTCGAATCCCATGAGCGGGATCATGAATGTGCACTACTGAGGAGTCCCTTACTAGGGCGAAACGGCCGTCCAATACTTTTAGACTTTCAATGGTGGTCTAGTTTTAATCGACTCATGAATTCAACTATCTACTATTATTCATTACTAGTAGTAGCGCTGAAATAACATTGTTTTTAACAGTTCGTTATTCTTATGATCATTTTGTTTCTTGATTATCAGTTTTCACAGTAATTCTTAGATTGATTCTGTCCGATTATAAACGGGTCATCCGTTTTTTTTTTAATTTCTTAATGATTATTCCTGAATAATTTACCTTGTTCATTTGTTATAGTTCGACTTGATGTTTTTTATTTCATGGGATGGTTAAATTAGTTCGTTAGAAAAAATTAACTTCCGTCGTCGAAAAATAAGTTTTGAAACTTGAACCAATAATTAAATGGTTAGAGTATTCAAACATTCGGATTATAACTTGTAACTTGTTTCATTCACTTAAATATATGCAGTCATGTACGTCAAACTATACTTGGTTGCGGAGTTTTATTATTCTATGAAGTTTTAGCACCAATTAATTCTTTTTTGTATTGGATATATATCTTGTTGTAATTTTCACCTCAAAAAGAGCCAGATTGGGTAGTATCCAGTGTCAATGGACTTCAAATCATAACAATAAATTTCTATTTCTCACAAATTTTAATCCTTAATTTCTGATTTAGACTAAATTAGAGTGATAATGTTTTGACATATAACTTGAGGATTGTTCATTACTGTTACGAAAAACTTAAAGGGTAAATTTAAAGAAATCTCATGAATGACTTATCAATGTGTAAAATTTCTCACCGCTTTAATATATAATCGAAGTCCGTAACTAATTTCAGGTTCATTTATTTTAAGTCATATTCTAGATGTTTGCGTTTTTGCGATACTAATTAATCACCCAAACCGAAATAGGTCTTACGAGGTTTTCACGAACAGCCTAATTGTTGAAACCAAGTATTTTAAACACTAAGTCGTATTCTTTCTTTTTTCTCTCTCTCTCTCTCTCTCTCTCTCTATATATATATATATATATATATATATATATATATATATCGTTCTCGTAGTTTCCCCCTTGACTGATATCTTGTTTAAATTAAAATTTACAGCATTTAGTTTGGATGTTGAACTTGAAAATTGAACCATCGGCTAAATTATTTTTCAAACCTGTTCAAGAATCATGCACAACTCATACAACAAAGGAAAATGTTAATTCATCAAGTGATACAATAAATGAAAATGCTGATACTGGAACTACCAGTACTAATATTACTACTGGTGTTGCTACTACTAGTACTACTATTACTACTAATAATAATCAAGTTCCTACACAAAATATCTCTATGACAACACTTTTCTCAGTGACATCTGAATTAACATCATTATCATCAATGCTTACACAAATTTTTATTCAGTCCAGGTAAGTAGTTACTTTTAACATTACTTGAGTTGTAGGTTATTTATTTCAAACCTTTTTGTCTAATATACGATAGTAGTCCTTAAAATCACTGTAACAATCGACTAACAATACTATTTAGCCTTACATTTTAAAATTTAACTTACGAAAAAAACAATCGAGTTAAAACAATATTTTCAGTTTGTATCCAACTATATTTACCGTTCAAACAATAAATATGTGTCATTTATAAATGTTTATTGTGACAATGATTTAATGTAGGAAATGAACCAAATAATAATAATAATAATAATAATAATAATAATAATAATAATAATAATAATAATAATAATAATAATGTATTTCATTATTTTTATCATTTAAATCGTTAAATAATTTTTAGCTTTTATTCATCTAATTCATTTTTCAATTTTTCTTAATTTCTATTTCCTCTAGATGATTCTTTTCTTCTTTTCTCTTGTCTCTTTTACTGTAAAAAAAGAGAAAATATTGTATGATAGGGATAGTTGGAGTTAGTTTACTTCTTAATGATATTCAGTCATTATTATTGGTATTGTTACTTTAATGATGTTGTTATTTAAGATAACTAATCTCTATATCCTTTATACACCTGCTTCGGTTTGGGCACCCGGGCAGTATCACAGCCCTCACACATCGAATGAGATTTGTGTGGCGCATATATATTTGGTGCCTCCCTGTACCAATATCTATGTGTTAAAATAAATAAATATCCTTTATACATATATACATCATATTGATTAGTGTCGTGATTTAAATTAAAATTAAGCTCAAAATGTTTCATTGTTATCCTTCTCATATGATCAACTTCAGTCTATAATAAATTGAGATTCAATGATGAATTCATCTTTAAGCTAATAAAAACTGGTTAATTTATTTCGATATCTTCAGAATTATAAAGTAAATTAAATTTATTCGGAAAATATTATCCTTTTTTGTATACTAATCGGAATGATTTTTCTGGGGGGGGGGCTGATGTCGAGTACATACATAATTTAATACTTTCTTTATTTATTCTTGTAAACAGTCAGGTTGTTTAAAAGTATTAATTGTTCTACGTTACCGTAAACATTAATTATATAAACAGGTTTTAAACGTTTATAGTAGTGAATTACTTATAAATCTTACAATATTCTATTGCGTATTGTTGTTTGTTACTTAGTTTAATTTAGTCATTAGTGTAAAAATTGTCCTAAGTTGATTGATTTACATTTAATAGTTTATTTTTAACCATTTGATCTCAGGTTTGAACACCATCATATATACTTCTATTTGCGCAACCAGGCAGTATTTATGGTTTATATTCATTAAGTGTTGTTCATAGCTGAGTACATGAAATTTTGCCTTGTAAACAAGTTGTCTTACAGTTTGAATTCATGTTTCAATCAGTCTCTCTCTCTCTCTCTCTCTCTCTCTCTCTCTCTCTAGAAGCTATTTTTATTTAGCCCAATGAAGGTATCAGTGTAACTTTCACTAAACCACTAATTTAATAAGCATTGTCAAATTATATAGTAAAGATGTCATAGGTGTCATTACCAATATTTAACTTGATTATTTAAAATAAATTGAGTATTCGGTTGGTTGTTATTGATAAAAGTAATATACTTGTAATATCCCAATTAGTCTGTGTTATTGTTGTCATTCAAGGCATCATTCTTCTCTTGCTTCTAGCTTTTAAATTACAACTAACAAAACGTACCGTGCTCATATTCAAGAAAACATTTTACTCAATATTATTTCATTTACTATCTGATTTACATTGTATAAATTATTTTCGTCCTGTGCACACGTACTTTATTACAGTCATGCCATTCTCCAGTAACACGACCTATAAACTTGGTGACTAGATTTAATTTTAGTGAAATGTATCGAAATTTAACCAGTTTAATGGAATAAATGCTCAATTTTATATCATTATACTTATTTTGCACTTTTCTCTTTCTCCAATATTTTGTACATTATCAATCCCTTACAATACGTACAAAAAGCGATTTGAGTGTAGATGCTCTACACAGTTTTATCTCAGCACTTTGTCGTCTTTCATCAGATGCATTAGAAGCAGTGAAAAACAATCGAGTAAGTTCATATGTCACTTTTTATTTTCTAGAAAAATATTGACTTTTCACTCCCCCCCCGTTATTCGATAAGTTAATTAAGGTTTAATTTTTGACACATACATATTGATATTTATTTTGTTTTCAGTATTACATTTGATCTGTGAGGATGGTTGTTATTTTAGCCTGGATTGTTGACAATAACTAACTAACTAATAATGTATCCGAACGCCGAGTTCATAAACCTGTACTTCGTAAATGCATAATACATTCATACTATAAGGGTGATTATATCGAAATTTCTTTCTTTTCTCACTACTTTCTCTCTGTTTTATAATAGTTATTTTCTCTAATTGTTCGAAATATATCGTGCGCATATATTTCCTTCTTTAAATAAGTATCATCCCTATTTCACTATTTACAACTTTAGCCTTAAATAATCAGTAATGGTTTTCTTCATAAATAATCTTATTATTATATATATTCGTTTCGTTTTAATTGTTTGAGTAATTATGGGCTCACTCACATTTTCACTACTTTTGCCCACTTATTACTAGTCTGTTTCGATTGGATCATCATTGATTTTGTTTGTAGAAAAAACTTATAATTATTATAAACCATTTGACACAAAAATTCAATGAAAATGAAGAAACTAAATAGCTATCTTCATTGGTATCATTGATAAACAAATAGCTGGATATAATTATTTGTAAAGGACACCTACCTACTTATGTTTCACGTTAGAAAATGACCAAATGGTGTTTGTTAGTTGTTTTAGTTTTCTGACAAATCAATGTTTTCCTCATTTATTTTATCAGCATTTTATGCAATAATAACTGGAAATCCTTCATAATGGGTTGATTTTTAATCTGCTGACGAAGTTAAGTACATTTTAATCTTACATATTGGTTAGTCAGCTTAGCTTATAGTAAATTATAACCTAATATATATATAAACAAGACAGACTACATAGATAAGATGAATTCCATACTGAGTGATCAAACTAAATTCCAAAAGCTTGGGTCATGTAAAGACCTCAATGAAAAGACTGAACGTCAACTAACTACAGCATTAAGATTTCTAAATCAACACCAACACATCTCTGAGCATAACTATAATATGCTTAAGCCCTCTGGAACACATACCCCTCGAGTATATGGTCTACCTAAGATCCATAAACCTGATATTCCTCTAGGCCCGATACTGGATATGGCAAATTTACCATACCATTCAACAGCAAAATGGTTAGTTAAGTTATTAGAACCATTGCACCAAGAACTTGCTAAGCATAATGTTAAAGACGTTTTTGAATTTGTTGATACAATTAAAAATATGAATATAAATGGAAAAACAATGCTATCACTAGACATAACATCTTTGTTCACTAATATCCCTGTGACTGAAACTATAGATTACATATGTGAACAACTGATAGAAAAGAAAATAGAGATTCCTATCCCAATAAATAAAATGAAAGAACTTCTGTCGAAATGCACTATGAATATCTTCTTTAAGTTTAACAATGAATTTTTCCAAAAAGTAGATGGGGTAGCAATGGGATCACCTCTAGGCCCGATCCTTGCTAATATTTTTCTGACAAAACTAGAAAATAGACCGCTTAAAGACATCCTAAATAAGCTTGATTATTACTGTCGATACATAGGTGACACATTAATCATATGTGACGAAAATATCGACAAACAGGAGATGTTAGACGCTTTCAATAATGTCCACCCAGCCATTAAATTCACCAGCGAGGAGGAGAAGGACAATAACATAGCTTTTCTAGATGTCCGACTCTCTAGAAGGATAGGTGGTTCCATAAAGCGAAATATGTTTAGAAAGTGTACATGGACGGGTCAGTATACCCATTTCCAAAGCTTCACACCTCTGCAATATAAAATAAATTTGGTTAAGTGTCTCAACCACAGAATCAAGTTATTATGTTCTGAAGAGAGTGTGGAGGAAGAAATAGTTATACTAAAGAACACATTACGTAATAATGGCTATCCTGATAATTTCGTCGAAAAATACCTCGTACAAAGTATTAAAAAGAGAAGACATTGCGACACAGTCAGTAAAAAGACCTTATATCTGAAACTTGACTTTATAGGCGACATAGTGGGTGATATTCTAACACGTCGACTCAAAAGATCTGTCGAGAGGACGTTTCATGCCGCCAAGTTACGCATAACTTTCTCGACTAAACCAGTGCTCACACAACTAACCAAGGATAAGTTACCGAAGATGGGCTCCTCCATGTGTTTATACCAATTCAACTGCTCCTGTGGAGCTAGTTACATAGGCCGTACTCAGAGGGCTTTATCCTTGCGTGTTCGTGAACATGTACCAGCATGGTTGGGAAAAGGAGTCACCAAATCGATTAACAGCACCATTCTTTCTCACTTGGTAGATAGTGAACATCATATCAAAATAGAGGAAGCTTTCTCTGTTTTATATCAAGTGCCAAAATATCTACCTCAAGGAGCTAGATTACGACTGCTTTACACAGCCGAAGCCATCTGGATCAACTCCAGAAGACCTAATTTATGCATCCAGAAAAAATATATCCAGCCTCTATGTTTACCCTGGCCTACGACTGGATCACCGAATACCTAGACTGAATATTATAAACCTCTAACCCTTCCTTTATTTTTATTTATTTTCCTTATTATCATTATTTGTCATTATCTATATCTTAATCTTCATACCCATCATTCCCAATTTGTTGACCGTAATTACTTTGATGACCCCCCCTTATTATATATTTTATTCACACAACAATATTATTATTATCTCAGTCGACAAAATTAATTTTTTTTGCATTTTCAATTTTGCTATAGTACTATTATCTTATTGTGACTGAACAATTTACTGACCTTTATTGAATGTTCACAGATTGAACTCATGAGTCAGTTGAAGCTAGACCACCATTGAAAACCTGGAAGCACTGGACGGCCGTTTCGTCCTAGTATGGGACTCCTCAGCAGTGCGCATCCACGACCCCCGCACCACCCGGGGCTCGAACCCAGGACCTACTGGCTTCGCGCGCGAGCACTTAACCATTAGACCACTGAGCCGGCATCCAACGGTGTTAATGTCTAACTTCAACCAATCCACGAAGTTGCGCTACCGTATGAATGACCTTTCTAATTTGCAAATATTACAATTTTTTCTTTTTGAAGTATATATATATATATATATATATATATATATATATATATATATATCGTAACAGATGCAAACGTTCACCATTTTTAACACATAACATTGTCAAACTCATTAATACATGCCTTATCTTGGCCTTTGTAAAATATTATAATTATGGACTTATAACTATAGAGCCTGATGATGAAGTTATTGAAAACAATTGTTCGCTCAAATATTCTTCGTTTATATATATATATATTCTTTTGAAGAGAGTGATAGTTAATTAAGTTTACCTAAAATTTAATTTATGATAAGATGAAATCGTTTATCGTAAACTACTACTAACCTATGATACAAGCTGTAATATCTCAATTATATTGTCATGGATTTCTATACAAATTAGGTCAAGAATATGTTACAGATTATTAGTTCGGATTTTACGTTGTTAATTACAACTGAATTTGTTGTATATTGAATAGATGAATGAGTACAAATGTTTGTGTTCCTTAGGAAATTTCAATGATACCATCTTTGTTTATTGCTATATTTATTTATATCATCATATCTCGTGTATCGTGTTTACACAATTATTTGTTTTTTTTTTTAAAATTAGGAACCAAGTCAGTTTCCTATTGCTAAACTAACAGAGATTGGATTAGTTAACGTGCATCGATTGGATTTATGGTGGAAAATTATATCAAATCAACTGTTAACTGTAAGTCAGCCTATTATTTCGAAATGAGATTATTTTGTATCTCCACGTATTATTCAGAATATAAACATTTCCATTTTATAAGCATCCTTATGAACTTAAAATAAATGTTTAGACCTATTGAGCTTGATCACAAAAATTACTTCTAAATAAATCGAGCAATTTTTTAAATAAATTACATAAATCAAGGAGTCTAAAGTTTTAAGGAATAATTTGTTATAATTTGCGCACTTGAAATCACGAGTTGATCTTAGTTAGACCACCATTAAAAACATGGAATAACTGGTCGATCGTTTCTTCTTAGTATAGGACTCCACATCAGTACACATCTACGGTCCCACACACAGGACTGGAATCTAGTACTTTCGAATAACGTTCTCACATTCAACATAGATTGAACTCCACTGGTCACAGTTTATCACTAGAATTCCAGGAGTCACATCTTGAACATGATTGTTATCAGTATGGGGATTTGTGGAGGTTGTAGTATTTTCACAGTTAAAATCACGATTCCATTTGTTATAAGCTAATTTATGTATTACTAACTATTCATAATAACAATCTGAAAATTGTGTATACTATAAACGAAAAAAAAACCCAATACTTTTACTAGTTGCCAATTAGCAGTAAGGTTAATTTTGTTTCGATTGTATCTTACATAATGAATTCAACTGATAGGTTCGCGAAATAGATAACGTATATATATATCCTTTTCTTATGTAATATTATTAATAAATAAAGGCTTTTATTAGCAATAATAATTGTATATAATTAATCAACTCACAATCATTGAATGCCAAAACTAACAATGATGGATAAAGATTGTACATGATAGCCTTTAACAAATAAGCAAAGTGTTTATGCGTTTATTCATGATTACGGTATATCATGTTCATACAATTAATTATATTATTCGTTACATTACGTTTTCAAATTTTTCCGATGGTCATTTGTTTTAATTTCACTTAACTCAATTCAATGTATACATTATGTAACATATTCACTTAATCTAAACATGAAGGATTTCATTGGAATTTTTTTTTAGTTTTCAGAAATTCATCTTTTTTGATCATTATTGAATTCTTCAGTAGTGATTATCTTCATTATTATTATTATCATCATAGTTATCCTCATTATTACGTAATATTCACAAGTATACAATCAATAAATTCTTAACATTCATAATGAATTGTTTAGAATTGCATCAATAAACAATCACCACAATGTGAACAATAATAATTTCTTTAATAAATTAACAAACTTTACACGAAACACTTGTGACATTGCACAATAGAGAATAAAATTAATTGAAGAATTTAATAAAACTAATAAATCTAATAAATCACCTAATGGTAAATAAATTGTATGTAGAAAACATTCACCTTTAATTGCAACAAGCGTATTGAATACACCTTGTGGTGCTTCAGTTATAACAAAACTTATTACAACTATAATAAGCATAATTGTAACATGTTGACTTTCACGGGATTTTTGAAGAAGACGACTTGAATGACGACGATTAGGTGTTGTCATTGGATTATTATTATTTCTACTATTACTATTATTCAATTCGTTGTTTCTTAATTCATTACTTGGAGTTAAGAATAATGGATTTCTAGTGGTTGTTGGTACTGCTGACAATAGGTCAATATTATTATTAGTAGTATTAGTATTTACTCGATGTTGATGACTTTTTATTCTTAAATCATTGATGTAATCACTATTGTTAAGATCCGAGTTTCTTGTCATTACAATACTATTCGAAGGATTGTTATATGTGATTGGACGTAACAAATTAGCTGATATTTTTCTTGTAAATATGACATTATTACTAACAATTTTGTTAGTACTATTATTTCCTATATTACTATTATCCAATTTTATTTCAATTGGTAATGTCTGCAATTTCCGATATCGTTGCCTTGCATCATGTAATACCATTAATATTAATACAGTGAATATAACAATAAGTATCGATGCTAAAAGTTTTACAAAACATCCATATAAAATAAAATGAACACGTTCCAATAATTGACTATTAGGATATAGCTTGAACCAATAGAAATACTGATTAGTAATGGTACTGTTATTATTAATGGTAGTGTTTGCTTCGACGTTTATTATTTTAATATTGTTATTATTATCATCATTAAAATTGTTATTGGTATTATCTAATCGTTTATCATACTCCTTTGTCTCCAATGTTATTGATGAATTCACCACATCAATTAATTCACATTGATATAAAATAAATGTTGGCATACATAACAAGCATCCTATAATTCCTGCACTAATATAACAATAAATAATAAACCGTCTATGTGAGCTAATCATAATCCATGTCAAATGATGATGTAAACTTAACAGATATTTTAATTTTCTTGAATATAATACCCAACAACGAAATGCTGCCAATTGAACTAATAAACATGTTGATATTGTATGACTGCCTATACTGATTGCATGATTTATTAATATTAAATAAACAGCTAGTTGACTATGAGGATATTTGTCTGGATATGGTGATGTAAGAAAATGTAAATAGATAACTTGTAGACTGTATGCTAACATTGTAAAACTGTCTACAATTGCTACACCAGTTAATAAAGCATTTGTTGGATTACGCATTTGTTCTTGCGTTAATATAATGGAATTTAAAAGATTTGTTCCTGTGCCAAATAAGCATACTGTACAAGCTAAATAAGCGTGTATTGTTGAATAGGAAATTTCAAATTGCTTTAAACTAGGTATTATTGGACATCCATTTGATGTGGATACTGTAGATGAAGAATTAGTAGTATATAATGATCTTGACGATATTGATGGTGTTGTTATTGATATAAAAGAAGAATGAAATGAAATATTACTACCGATAAGATTATGCAATAAATGATATTTTTCATAATTGTCACTAGTATCATCCATGTCGTCATTCAGTAGATATTTGTACTGTCCTTTTTACTCGACGAATTATATTTTAATTATCAAAATATTCCTGACACTCATACCTCTGTCTTTATTCTTCAATCGTTGACATAAATCAGCTTATTAATATGTGAATATAGACTTGCAGATCACTAGTCTGTTGTTTCGTGATTGGTTGGTTAGATTCTTTCGTCTGATTGGTTATTGTACATTATGGTCTATGGGTTGACGCGTTTAGCTTTAGAGAGAAAAGCTATAATGCATTGAACGAGTATGTATCGTATTTCAATTAAAGTCGTGCCATGTGGACATAGAATTGGACTTTCTTGTTATTTTTTATAATTATTCTGTTTGCTTTTTATTCATTAAAAGTTTTTTTCCATTTAACCAAAGCTCATATCAAATATCTCTCAATTGAGAGCACATTGATAACCCGGTCTAATTTCTTTTTCATGATAACTTATAATATGAATTTAACTGATAGATGTCAATCATATGTTTGCTAATTGTTGTTCTTATATTTATTAGTTCTGCTTTGATATTATAAAATGTCAGTTATCAGTACGGTAAAAGTCCTGTTTTCCCATTTCACAAAAATCTATGTGGTTTATGATATATTTTCCTATGTGTATTCAAATATTTTTTTTGTTCCCTTAATATCTAAACCTTCTTTGTCTACGATATGTCTTCATTCCTTGTATACAGCTTGATTTGCGAGTTATGGAACCTGTGCTTCTGTAATTGTGTATTTGATCGGTATGAGTTCATTTGTGTCATACATGAGTTTCAAGTTTTACAGTATTAATTCCGATGATCAGTATGTTCAAAAATGGTAGTTTGTTGACTGATTCTTTTTCAAATGTGAAGTTCATAGTGTCAAATATACTGTTAATAGAATTTCAAGTAATTCTAGTTTATTCTTTTTAGTTATGACAAATGTGTAGTCTGGATATCCTATTCAAATCATCAGTTTAATCATTCGTAAAACTACAACATAACTAAGTTTACAATCAATCCGGGTGCTTGTGATCACGTTGGAGTACCTTTTCTTTGTTTGTGTAGCTCTCTGTTACTCTGAAAATGTGTTGGATACATGTTGGTGAGGTCATTTTAAGTACTGACTGTGAATTTTGGTGTATTCTGAAAGATTCTTACCGATTTTGCAGCCTTACTCATCTCAATCGATCCGAATCTGACAAAGAATGATCTATCCCTGCTTCTTACCAGCGATAGGTCTCTACGTTTAGTCGATTCGATAAACAGTTACCATTCTACTTGCTCCTATTAAACTATGGATCTTTCTCATCCACCAATTCTGCTTTGCATTCAGGTGCATCTACTAGAATAGCTTGAGAAAAGGCAAGACACGTCGATTGCATAGTTTATTCTACAAGGCATAGTCAACACAGGAAACTCAATTTCATATTCATCATTTGATCTCATTTATAAAAAAATATTTACATCGGTAACTGGTAATAAGTTCAAATCAGTAGATAGCAACAAATGTAATCTTTTTTATATTAATTAACTAATTGTTTGTATTTGCTATGTTTTAGTAATTTTTCAGAAATAGCTTAGTTTAAGCCATTCTGTATATAAGATTTTATGTTACATATGGTTAGAACAACACTCACATATCTCGTGCAATTGAATACTATTTATTTAATGTAACTTATTAAGTATGGGTCTTCCACTCAGATCTGAGCCACATGTTTTACTTGTAGGATACCCAAATGTCCGAATCAAAGTAAGTCGATAGTTATTCGAAACTCAAGTGCCTTAACCACTAGTCCACCTTTCCAAAAATTTTCAAATTATACTGAAATATTATTTAAGACCAGTTATCTTTCGTAACACGAACTAAGACGGTAATCAAAGTATTCAACTTTCAGCTTCAGAGTAGCACGTTCTCATGAAGCTTTATCCATTGAGGCTTGAGCCATCATGGTGTGATTCAAAGTTGAGTACTTGAGTCTGTACCTCACAAAGAAGTTTATTTGGCAAAACTATTTCTATTTTTCGTGTATAGTCACCTGTTAGTTACTAATGAATCTCCTGTTCCATGCGAAAAAAACCACACTTTTTTGAAAAAATATTTCTCATCACGTAGAAGCGTGCCATACCATATTGTTGCGCATGACCATGTTTCTTTCTAGTGTATGAATGATTTCTTCTTAATTTTTACATAATTATATCTAGGTGTGTAATTGCACTCATGCCACTCTCCGTCAGTTATCTTCAAGCTGTTTGACCAGTTTAATCAGACAAGCAATTGCTGCTCCACAGAATCCTCCTTTTTGGCAAAATGAAGTAAGTATTCACTAGAATCAAACTATTTATATATATAGGTTACCACTAATATTTCTATTATTATTTTTACTATTATTATAGCTTTCGCATCCCTCGTTCATATATTTTAGATAGAATATAGCGTGTCACCAATTTTATTTGATATTAATCATTGTTGACTAGCAATTTGTTACTGGAATACAGAAACATGTTTTCAGATCACACAAAATTCAACTTTCATCATGTTTAGCGCCCGGCGAATGGTTGCTTCTACAAAAGGTTTATGTGTTAAATGTTGATGTATCAATAAACTAAACTCTATTGTTTGTCTTATCTATTATATCTTGTGCATGTAGGTTTTTGTATCTTCCGTTGTGATTGAATTAAGCACTGACAATTATCTGTGCAGTAATAAAAATTTGATCCAAAAGTATTTAAAAAAGAAATAAAGGTAGGAAAATATTATACAACAGTCTGCAAAAATTCTCTACAGTGATTATAACTATGTATTCACCAGTGACTGCTTTCTAAAGGTTGTTCATTGACAGAGTTCTAGTGAGAAGCTGTGACAAGTAAAAGTCAATCGTGTCGAATGCGAGACAGTTATCTAAGAAAGCTTTCTGTAAAACTCATCTTTTACATCATCTGAGCTGCAGTCAGTGGGAGAACAGGCAGAGACGACGAAGAGGCAACGACGAGTGTCCCTATCTTTCCGAGTCCTTATTGTTCCGTTTAGTCGGACAGCGCACAAACAACTGTCTACTGGGATCCAGTTTAAGAGAGCTAGTTCTGCCTTAGGACTCAATGCTATACCTACGCCGGCGTGTCCACGAGAAGCAACATCTTGGCTTCCAGATACACGAAGTGTGAATCGAGTTGGTTCTTTGTTTTGACACGGTGATGTCAAATGAATGACATGGCTCAAAATCGTTTTCACTGGCGCAGGTGCATACACTGTTTGTGTTCTCCCGAATTTTAATCTCCTGACTCCTCCTTGTCTCTTTTTTCTCTTCCCAAGTTTCTTTCACTGGATTGTCTTCTTTAAATAACATCTCCGAACCCTAATCTTCCCGATTACTGCTTATACTCTTACTACCTCTACCACTATGGGATTTGAATCGACAACTGCATCTCTGTGCTAATGTGGTATGGCAATTCGAACTGATTTACGTACGTACGACGTTCTACGTTGTTACTGACTGACTGAGTTATCTAAGAATACCATTAGGGGATGGCTGTGCAATATCACTATTTTATTGAATTCATCCAACTAGGTGGTGTAGAGAACAAGTGTTCGGCATAACATCTGAAAGTACTGAGCTTGAATCCTAATGGGGTTCTAGATATCAACTGCTGAATAGTTCCTTACTAGGATAAAACAGCTATCCAGTGCTTCTTTGTTTTCACTGATTCTCTAATCAAAATCACTTCATAATATCAACCATGAAAGATCTTATACAGTGTGTTGACAAGATATAACACAGAAATGGACAGTATTTTTGTTTCCAACTCTTGTATTATTCATATTTCTTCATTTTAGTGCGAACGCATTTCATCACTGTCATTATACGTCTTTGTTTCTTTAACTATTGTTTACACAATAGTAGTGTTTGTTCACTGTCTGTCAGTATAACTAATTTGTTTATTAATGTTTTGCTAGAAATAGTAGTTATTCACTTGTTTTCCTGTTCAGTTAACTATTAGTCTGTTTTTATGTTAGTTTCTTTCATTCATAATTATCTTACTTTTCCTAAGAGGGATTACTTGAAAAGAAACGATATAAATTTTCTTTTTAAAAAAAACGTTCTCTTTGAATACGAGATTTTTTCTCTGGATATTTTATTGTTTTTCTTCGAATTCTTCAGAAATCAACGTAGCATAAGTCTAAATTGTCCTGTAAATCTGTACATTGTTTCGTAATGAAATTCATTTTGTAGAAAGAGAACAAACATTTAAATGTAAAATATTTTATACGAAGATGAAAGTAATTGAAATCTCATAGAAATCCGAACAAAATTAATGTCATTCTTTAACAATTTGTTCTTTAAGTCTTTAAATGATTGTCAGTGTAAAGTAATTAAACAAATCTGTATCATCTCTAATTGATGGGAAAATTTAACAATCAACGTAATAATAAATGAATCAAATTAGTGTAGGTATTAGGACAAAAAAACACATTCAGTTATGTTATACTCGTTGAATTGTATTATGTAACATCTCAAATAATGATGAAATAGCTATATAAAAAGAAATAAATACGTATTAGTCAATGTTTTTGTTTATACTCAGTTTATATTTTATTCTTGTTTTGATTTTAATCATTTCAAGTGTATTCAAATAGATTTAAATTGGATATTTACATTTTATATATAAGGTAGTTTTCTTGTTCAATATTCATTCTCCATAATATGTTCTGTTGAATAGAAAGATCCACCTAATTTTAATTATGAAATAATAATAATGAGTAGTGTACAGTTGTGCAACTTGTTGTTACGATATTTGAAAAACGTATGAACACAACATTATCAATAATTAGATTGTTAGTTTCAGAACAGTTTGAATCTAAAAAAAACGAAAGAAAAGAAAACAACAACAACAACACTATTTACAGAGTAGAATGAATTCATTATATTTCGAAATTTCTCATTGACTAACAACGAATTCGTATTGCAATTAGCAATATTATTACTTTTTCCTTTAAAAACATTGTCGTTTTTCTGTACTCTAGTTAATGAAGCTCAGTTTGAAACAGTACGGAATTAAAATGAAAATTAGTAGAAAGATAAACTACTAAATGATTTACTAGATAAGATGGGGGCGATGTTATAAATGTCAATCAAGTGTCGAAACGAATGAAATAACATTTTTAAAGAAGAGAGCGTTTGTTTTTTGTCATGGCTTCACTCAACTGTATGTTATCAGTATTGGGACTTGTGTAGATTGTAATGTTTTCACAACTGAATACACGAGTCGATCTGATCTAGACCACCATTGAAAACCTGGAAGCACTAGATGGCCGCTTCGTCCTAGTATGGGACTCCTCACCAATGCTCAATAGTGACTAGTTTCAAGATGAATCTCCTGGAGTTCTTGTGAGTGTCCGTGATCGTTGGAGTCCAATCCACCTCAAACAATGGATAAAGAGTTAAGCTAGATCATGAGTCGATTAAAGTTAGGCATTAACACGGTTGGGTCCCGCCTCAGTGGTTTAGAGGTTAAGCATTCATACGTGAGACTGAAGGTCCTGGGTTCAAAGAAGTGAGAGGAACAGGTGGTTATTCACTAGTTGCCAAGATACACATTTGGTGAGAGAACTAACAAAATATTTTGACAAAAGTTGGTGCGTGAATAGTTAGGTAAGAAAAAGAGATGAATGTCAAAGTTGGGTGGGAACACAAAAGTAAAGGAAATCTATAAAATGTTTGAGAAATAGGAGTAAACCAATGTTCTTTAATAGCCCACTTTTCTTTAACCTTTATCAGTGAATAAGATAGAAAAAAAAGTTGTGCAGTCGTCTTTTGAGTACGATGGTCAAGTTTCTAAATGTGAATTGTTGTAGTTTTAGATGTGTGGACCCGTAAGCTATGTAGTATATTCGATGGAATAAATTGGAGAACTTTAAAGGCTTTATTTGAGTCAGTTTGATGTCCTATGTGTGCACCAAGTGACCGATAATTACAGCCTTTATCACCCTTAACTCTCCTTTGCTCAATCAGGCGAAACGATGTTTGACGATATAGTGATAAACGTGCGTCATTGTACACCCAATATAACTCGTTTAACATTATACACTGATGAACATAAATTTATACGATGACTTCAAATAGTCTATTTTTATTTATGGTTTTCATTATTGGTCTAACAACCGCACTCATTTCGCCTACACTGAAGGTTTTGTTAGCAGCTTTTATTTACTTTTGTGCTAGTATATCACTGGCAGTGTTATTTTTGAACTGTAAAAGTATCTTCTTCAGAACACTATCAATGGTCTTATTTTTACCTCGTTCACATGTTTTTTGAAGTAAATCATTTTAGCTCGATGGGTCAGTAATTTTACTTATCTTCGTTTATATCTGAGTATTTTAGAACTATAAAAATGAATATTGTCCAACTGACGATTTTCTAATTTTTCAACTAATAAGTTAGTTGAAAATCAAGCCACATAATTGATACGAAAAACTAAATTATCATATTAAGTGAATGCCAGTGTAATGTTAAAAATCTAAAATAAAATAATAAGTCATGAAACATCAGAATGGGTTTTGTGGAGATTTTTAGAAATTTCACAAGTTGAAATTATGAGTCAATTGAAGCCAGAACACTATGGAAAACCAGGTAGCACTGGACGGCCGTTTCGTCCTAGTACGGAACTCCTCAGCAGTGCGCATCCACGATCTTGCACCCCACGGGATTAACACCGTTGGATGCCGGTCTAGTGGTTAAGTCATGTAATAGACAATACTACATCACTTTTTTTACGGCAGCAATAAGGGGTTTATCATAATTTCTTTATATGTACAAAAATCTGGTCGAAAGTACCTAAAAGCAATTGCCTCGGCAAAGCAGAATATGAAATTATCTACATGTCACGCTAATGGAAATTAATTTTTTATCGAATTGTAATAAATTTGTACCATTTAAGAAGATCTAAATAATTTAACTAAAAACGTTCTGTAACAAAAATAACAAATACTTTTTCATGTTAATATACTAAGTTTTGAGGTTGTCTTTTGGAGTTGTGCTTATTTAATCCATAATACTGGATTTATTTTCATTTATATATGTTTTTCATCTATTGTTATATGATCAATTTACTAATGCATTTAGTTTTTACATTATTGTAAATGTATCTGCACAAAATGCATAAACCTCTACTTATAGAAACAACTTATTAATAATATTATTCGTATACTTGTCTTATTAAATCCACTCTTACCGTTTGTTTTTTCTCGAAAAAACTTAAGGCATTAAATATTCAAGTACTTGATCCATTAACGGATTTATCTGATCGCATTATATATGATGATGTACGAGAAGAACAATTAAAATGTGTTCAACAATTATTACATTGTTGGGGTGAACAAGTACGATACAGTTGGCTTAGATTAATTAAAATTATTGGAGTTATAAGAGAAAGTTACAAGTAAGTAGTTGATTTATTATCACTATAATCATTGTTGTTGTTGTTCTCATTCGTATTTTGCATTGTACTGTTATGAACATTAATTACTCTTTGATCAAAATGTCAGTGTACGAGTTCCATCTATTATCTGTGTAATAATCAGATTATTCTTTACTATTTTTATAAGTTGGATAGAAGCTATCGGTATTGAACGCACAATAGTTGACACTCATCAGTATATTGTATCTACAATTGAATGAATATTTTTTGTGGGATTTGAACCCAAAAATACAGCAGAATTTCTGGTTGCCCAATGTAAATAATTACATTACAACTTGTTATGACTGTTAGTCAATTTTTATGACTGTGTCGGTAATTGTTATGTATAAATCGCTTATTACTCATATTTGTAGAACGAGGAAGCACTGCAATTCCCACGACACAATGAGAACACCAAGACCAGTACAAATGAAGATTTATTAGCCCCAAAACTTGACGACGACTGTAGTAGAAAATACACTCATTTATATATTGATTGTACACTCATTTTGACTATTAATTAGAATAAAATCACATATATGAAAATTACTTAGAGTTAGGACAAACCATATGATGCTTGTCATACTGTGCATAGTTCATGTTAATTTAATACAAGAATATGTTATCTTGAATAAACATCACACTCAAATAAATTAATATTATACCGAATAATATATCACACTGAAGAACATAAACAAATACTACACTAAGTAATTATCGCATTGAATTAAACTTTCATCAGTAAAAGAGATTATATAATATAATTAATAATTATTTAATGATTATATAATGTACTTATATATATTCAGGTGATAGCTGTCTATATATATCGATCTAACATATTTCGCTTATAGTTCTTTTACATGTATTGAAATTTGATAAGATCCTTTTCATTCATAAATTTAACCAAAGCAGGAACAGAAAACGTAACACCAATAAAATGAATGAGTTCATTTTATAGATTCTCTTCAGCTGCCTGCAACCTAAACACAATAGTAATAATTATTTATTGTCAATCTACATACTTTATGTTATTCATAAGCATTATTGGAATAACGATAAGTACGAAGAATAAAAAAAGTAGCAAAATGGATGAATATTGGTATTTTATGTGTATCAGTTCAAGTTGCCAGATTGCATCATCACGGCGAAATGGACTTACCATGATAAGTACTAGAGCAGTTGAATAGATAATAGTATCAGAATAATATAAATAATTAGTCATAAATAATATTGCTCAAGAAGTATGATTTTGTGGAATAAATAGTATAAGTATTGTAGGACAACAGTGATCAGTTCATCAGGGTCATTGCAATCAATTTTAAGCTAGATAATCTAAAGTCTTTAAACATCGATTACGGCAATCACACCGATTTCTACTTGATATTCTACACGTACCTTTTATGGGTCAGTCTGATAGTTCCTAAATTCATGGATCGATGCCACATCCTTGTTTGGTCATTCATAACTTTTTCTAAACCTACTCCATCATTTGCCAACATCCCCTGTCACGGTAGGTGGTGATCGAACATGCGTGATATATTTCCAAACGATCTTGGTCGATAAACATTTACTATCTCATCAGCTGATTCACCAGTTTGATGTTTAAATGGTTTACGAATATTTTTTTAACTAATGAAGATAGTTTTTATCATAGATCAACCTAAATAAAAATTTGCGGGCTTTTTATTTGGTTAATTGTATTGTATAATTCTTATCTGTTGCTCTTGGTTTATTATCCCGCACTGTAGTTTTATCTCATCTTTATCTATAGTTAATTCATTTTGAATATTTTTATCCCCAAATGTGCCGTTCGTCGTTAATTCGGACTATTTGCGGCTAATCGAAAATTTCTAAATTAAGACAATTACATTGGCTTCATTTTACAATGCTTGCTACTTTTGTTGTATTCACAATTGTCAAATGATTAATTTGATTTTGTTAAGTTTTATGTTGTTTACAGAGACTTCACATTATTTCATTAACTTTTCTATTAAAGACCGTTATCTATCATTTGACTATTGATAAAATCATTTGATCTATTTGAAAAGTAAATACAACCTTAAAATAATATATTCTTCAAAGTAGTTGTCATGTTTAAAGTGTTAACTGATTTGGCAAGTACAGATCTAAGTATTTGGCCTTAAGATACATTTGTTTGTGTGAAGCGACTAATTCACTACCCAGCTGATTAAAACGAAACTATTGGATTTGTATTTAAATATTGGATGATTTACTCACTAGGCCACATGTATGATTTTAGGATTGTGTTATGATCTTTATATTGCTCGTTAGGGATAAAATGTGAGTTTATTGCGAGGTACCCTAAGTACGCGAACGGATCTAATGTAACTATTTCGGTCAAAACGTACTTCAGTTGTCGGAAAGACAAGCAAAACAAAAGAGAGATGGTTGTGAAGAAAAAGACACTTAAATACGTAAACATCACATTATATACATTTTGTTGTACAATATAAAACTAACGACAAAAAATGGTACGTGTTACGCGACATTTCCACAGCATAGCGCTAACAGTGTGACATCGAGGTGTGATGAGAAAGTTATAACAATAATTGTTGTTTTAGCAACCTCAATAGTTTCGTAATCATATTCATGTGGGTAAAATCGTACAGCTTTATTGTTTAATATTTTTATATTCCAACTAAGTAGTTAGTGTAAATGTGAAAGGTTTGGTTTTTCTCATTATTGATATTAAGCGCTGCATTTGATTAATCACCATAAACATATACCCATTCTGAGTGAATCGCCTTAAATCGGTAGCTATCAGTTACTTCCAACCGACAAGTCCTGAGATGGACGAAACACAAGTCTTGAATCCCACTACTAGTTATGATTCAACTTTACTTAGTAATTGATTTTTCAAATGAATTTTTAGCCATTAACTAATGATTGTTTTCCCTGCTTTTGTGCAATTTTCTTTATCAACTATGCAGAATAGACTTGATCCAGACATCATTTAAATGCTTCAAATTGATTGTTACAGATTATTTATCCACTTTGCCGTCGGATTGCTATTTAGCGTGTGTCGAAACTGCAGCAAGTTTTGGACATCAAAAACAAGACTTAAATATTGCTTTATCAGCTATTGGGTCCTTAGTAAGTGTTATTCTTTTGAAATATTTCTTAATTTATCTTTTTGAAACAATATGAATAAACTTCAGCTTTTATGTTATATTACGCTGGTACGGCCGAGGGTGGGGAGAGTCAGTTCCCCCTCTCGGAACGTTGTCACATGGCCACACATATACATCCACTGACAGCGAAGTTCTACTCACTGCCTTCTCTTGGCATCACTGTTGTTTACGAAATTGCGAGAACAAATGGCAAATGTTCGGTGTTTTAACCTGGTTGATGGATATAACGGATCCATCTAAGGGATTGGGAAAACCCTGATTCGAAACCAATGGTGCAGATGAGCTCCAGGATCCTAAGAGAACATATGGCTCGTGAACTTATTGTTGATCACTGCCTCTCGTAACGTTTATTCCCTGCTTTGTGTTTTAGACCTTTAGGTCAAAGGCTTCAGGTATGGTCGCCTAACAATGTGTTGATTAGAGTTTTGTATAAATTTTACAATATAATGCTACTGATCTTTTGGTTAGCAGACAGTTTTAATGAAAGAGGACTTTTTATATGAAGTGAATGATTTGTTTAGATGTATTATACCATCAAATTCTATGAAAAATAATGTGAAGGCTTGAATTTGAACTTACGCGAAATACTTTTTCCGATACAGTATCTATACTTGCTGTATGTGCTTCTAACCAGTTTTATCATTGCCTTATTGATTTTCAAAGTAGTGTACTATTTTGAGCGTATTCATATCATCTGTGTATAATGTGAACTCCTAGTTGTTGACCTCAATGTGTTAAACCTTTTGTATTCAATCATTGTTAAACATTCTGTTTTCCGGTGGTCAGAGTCCTTTTACTGGTTCCTGAGATTAAATAACCATTTTAAAAATTACGGTTTAAACAAACTTCACTATTGATCAACTGAAATAATGCTAACTGTCTGTAATCTGATCTATTATTTATTTTATTTATTTATTTGGACACATAAATATTGGTACAAAGGGGCACCAGATACACATGCACCACACAAGTCACTTGGTTTGTGTGTGGTCTGTGATAATGTCCGGGTGTCCATACAGAAGCAGGTCGTTTTCTTAGGGAGTCACACCCGGAGCCTTCAGCCTAAAGATTTGGTCCACAAGATAGTGGAGCAACAACAGGAGATGCAGTCCTATGGTAGCCGGTGACCAATAATTGGTTCATACACCATTTGTTCCCTCAGGATCCTGGAGACCATGTGCACCATTGGTTAAAAATCAGGGTTTTCCAACTTCCGTAGGTGGATTCTCCGTGTCCACTAACCCGGTTAAAACACTGGACATCCGCTTTTCGTCATCTCATTTTCGTAAACAACAGTAATGCCATGAGAAGGCGGTGAGTAGGAATTCCCTAGCAGTTTTTGTTTATGCGTAGCCATGTGAGAGTATTCCGGGAAGGAGAGCTAACTCCTACCGTTGGACGTACCAGGGCATTTGGGGGCATACATACTGTATATTGAAGTATCCACTCCTTATAAATATACCAAAATTTTCTGTATTTTGTTTAACTGTGATCAAATGGAATTCATAGTTTGTATTAAGAAGTAAAGTATATTTTTAAAGAAATTTTGCTTACAGGAGCTATACGGTGTTATTTTCATGGAGCTTATTGTAATAAATATATTTTCTATACTATCCTAGATGTGTAATATAAGTGGAATTCATAGGAAGTGAAGCTAATATTAATAAGTAAAAAAATCATTTAATAAATAGCTTACATCACAACTATTGAAAATTAAAAGACGCGAAACAACTGTTTCGCTGCAGTTTGTGACCACGGCAATGGTCATCCAACACGCCACCAGGGATCATATCCTGGGACTTTAGGCATCAAGTCGGCGCTTAACCTTCAGATAACTGGGTCAAAATCCAATCGTTTACATGTCTAGCCTTCTGTTCGAGATTTTGGTCAACCGACCTCCCATACTATTCGTATGTGACTGTCTTACACTCGACATAGTGGAGCTCCACTGATTATGGCATTTCATCAGTAATCATGTAATTTCCTCTCGAATTTAGTTAGTAGTGAACATATGATTATTATTAGTATAAGAGGTTTGTGGAAATTTCATTTTTGTCACAAAATGTTTTTAGTTAAACAATCATTGAATTTCTATTTCGTCCTACCAGCCTCGATACCAGTGTTAATAAATAAATCATTAAACTGATCCAAAATCATATGATGTATAAAAGACTTTAGTTCAAATACATATCTACTAGATGAAATATTTCGATATAATTTTTCAAGTGGATAAATGATGGTCATTGTCAGTAAAAATAGGAATTAAATTAGAAATGATCATTTAATAACGATATTGATTAAAAAAGCTATTAAAAAGAAGACTTTTCCTCACCACTATAGTTTCTATGAAGTTATTATCTAAAACTTTGTCTTTTCATTATCTCTCTTTACGTTGTGGTATGCTTTTGTTTCAGCTTCATTTAGCTGATTTTTTTGTGGAACAAAAAAATATTCCACTTGTAGTATCAGATTCAATTAATTCTTCAATTGATTTAAAAGAATTATGGATTTGTGTATTTCATAAATTGGCTGATTTGTGCTTAGATCGTAGACCAGCAATTCGAAAATCTGCATGTCAAACATTATTTAATACAATTGAATGTCATAGTGAACAATTTGATGAAGATACATGGTCTAATTTGCTATGGAAAGTTAGTTTATATGTATATAGGTGTTTGTTTTATCGAATCAAATCACTTTTAGGAGTAATTTTTTCTCATCTCGCGTTCTATTTTAGGAAACATCTCGATGAGTCCTAAAAAATAAAATCCTTCAGCTGTTTTGTCATTTCACGTTTTAACACTTCCACATTGTTACAGCGCTGCCTATGTACAATTGTAGAACAAATTATCGTAACATTCAAATTACAAACCAGAATTTCTCAAGCATATACTTCCTAATATATTGTTGCATTATCGTGAAGCAGTGACTATCCTTATGGATTACAGAAATTTAATCTCACATAGTCACATATGCGCTCAAGGAAATTCGTGTGTGAGGCAGCATTCATTGATTATTGTAGACGGTTTATTTCATTGTAGATAAGAATACAAATGTCCTGTGTTTATTAGTCAAACTGATTATATTTGTTTGTCTGATTTGCTGTTAAATGTTTACTGAAATAAAGTGTATAGACCAGTCAGATAATATTTATTTTTTAAACGATTCATACAAAACAGAAGTTAAACATATTGTAATTGTCTGCTTATAAAATTATTTGTTGTTTTTTAGAGTAGCTTTTATCTTTCGTCGATTTTCGTTTAATGAATTGTCATACTTTTGATCTTTTTACGATTGATGAGTTTTCAAAACTTAGAAAACCCGTACTGTTTAGGATTTTCGGTTGTTATGCTCCCATAGTATTGTTATATAGTATGACATACCTTTACGAGCTAGGGTAATTTTACATTGGTTTTCTTGAGAACCGGACACCATCCAGATTTGCATGTGACAATCCAAACAATACAGCTCAATCCCACTTTCAGGAAAACCAGACACCATCCAGGCTTAAACTTTATAACCCGAGCGGTACTGCTGAACCCCGCTTCATAAGAGAACCAGACACTATATAGGCTTTAACACTACAATCCTGTGATGTGGACCATACATATAAATATATACATCATATGTATAATTATTTTGATCATTGATTGCGTTAATCAATTATGCGCAGCATGAACATACCAACGTTGACCTATTCCGCTTACACGAGAGTCAAACTCATTAATGTTAGCGATGATGGTATGCCTTACAATGTCCTAATGACAATGGCCCCTGAGAACACTGAAAAGCAGCTACTAGTATGAGAGAAATCGGTTAACCAGCAAAACAACTTTTGTGTATGAACAGATAGCAAAACTTGCCAGAGTAAGCCGGACAATCCACAATATCAATAGCTAACCTCCAGTCTCATATGAAACGTTCAGCTCCACACAGCAATATAGCTTAGCTTATAGCCTATGCTACATACAACACATATGTAGGGTAGTAAACGAAATAACGCACCCACCAATGATATCAACGACGAAATTAAAGATCAGTTCTATGAGCGGCTGCAGTCAATCATTGAGAAATGCCCAAGAAAGGACCTAACTATTCTGATGGGAGATCTAAATGCCAAAGTCGGAATAGACAACACTGGATATGAAGATATTATGGGACGACATGGACTGGGAGAAAGAAACGAAAATGGAGAAAGATTTGCAAATCTATGTGCATTCAACAAATTGGTCATAGGAGGCACAATATTTCCACACAAGCGTATACACAAGGCTACATGGATCTCACCGGACCACACTACAGAGAACCAAATAGATCATATTTGCATCAACAAAAAATTCCGAAGGACAATGGAAGATGTGAGAACCAGGAGAGGTGCTGACGTAGCTTCAGACCACCACCTAGTTGTAGCCAATTTGAAACTGAAGCTAAAAAAGAACTGGACAAGTGGACAAACAGCAATACAAAGGTTCAATACAGCCTTCCTTCGAGATACTGTAAGACTCAATGAATTCAAGATAGCTCTCAACAACAGGTTCCAAGCCTTACAAGATCTACTGGAAGAAGAAGAAACTACTATGGAGGACAACTGGAAAGGCATCAAGGAAGCATTAACTTCAACGTGTCAAGAGGTTCTCGGTCTAAAGAAATACCATCATAAGGAATGGATCTCTACAGAAACAGTGGACAAGATCAAAGAAAGGAAGAACAAGAAGGCAGCAATAAACAACAGCCGAACACGAGCAGAGAAAGTCCAAGCACATGCTGAATACATAGAAGCAAACAAACAAGTGAAGAGGAGCATTAGAGCCGACAAGAGGAAATACGTGGAAGAACTAGCAACGACGGCAGAAAAAGCTGCTAGAGAAGGAAATATAAAACAGCTTTACGATACAACGAGGAAACTATCAGGGAAATACAGTAAACCAGAGAGAGCGGTCAAAGACAAAGAAGGCAATCCAATCACCGAAATTCAACAACAACGTAACAGATGGGTAGAATACTTCGAGGAACTCCTGAATAGGCCGGCTCCAATGAATCCACCGGACATCGAAGCAGCACACATAGATCTTCCTATAGATGTCAATCCACCAACTACGGAAGAAATTAGAATGGCCGTCAGACAAATCAAGACCGGGAAAGCAGCGGGACCCGACAACATACCAGCTGAAGCACTGAAATCAGACATCGAAGCAACCACAAGCATGCTTTATCTTCTATTCAAAAAGATTTGGGAGGAGGAACAAGTGCCGATGGACTGGAAAGAAGGACACCTCGTCAATATTCCAAAGAAAGGAGATCTGAGCAAATGTGAAAACTACAGAGGCATAACACTACTATCAATACCAGGGAAAGTCTTCAACAGAGTGTTGCTGAACCGGATGAAGGATGCAGTAGACGCCCAACTTCGAGATCAACAAGCTGGATTCCGTAAGGATCGGTCGTGCACAGACCAAATTGCAACACTACGGATCATCGTCGAACAATCAGTTGAGTGGAACTCATCACTATACATTAACTTCATTGATTATGAAAAGGCATTCGACAGTGTAGATAGGAGGACATTATGGAAACTTCTTCGACACTACAGAGTTCCTGAGAAGATTGTCAATATAATCCGGAACTCATACGACGGACTACAGTGCAAAGTAGTGCATGGAGGACAGCTGACAGATGCATTCCAAGTAAGGACCGGAGTCAGACAAGGCTGTTTACTCTCTCCCTTCCTATTTCTTCTGGTGGTCGACTGGATTAAGAAGACCTCAACATCTGAAGGAAAACACGGCATACAATGGACAGCTCAGAATCAATTAGACGATTTGGACTTCGCAGACGACCTAGCCCTCCTATCACGTACACACGAACAGATGCAGATGAAGACAGCCAGTGTAGCAGCAGTCTCTGCATCAGTAGGCCTCAGCATACACAAAGGGAAAACTAAGGTCCTCAAATTCAAAGCGGAGAACAGCAATCCAATCATTCTTGATGACGAAACTCTGGAAGATGTAGAGTCCTTCACATACCTGGGAAGCATCATCGATGAACAAGGAGGATCCGATGCAGACGTAAACGTGAGGATCGGAAAAGCAAGGGCCGCTTTCCTACAATTGAAGAACATATGGAACTCAAAGCAACTTTCAACCAATATCAAAGTAAGAATCTTCAATACGAACGTCAAGGCAGTTCTACTGTATGGAGCTGAAACTTGGAGAACTACAACAACCACAATCAAGAAAGTACAAGTATTTATAAATAACTGTCTACGCGAGATACTCAACATCCATTGGCCGGATACCATCAGCAATAGCCTTCTGTGGGAGAGAACAAACCAACTTCCAGCTGAAGAAGAAATTAGGAAAAGACGATGGAAATGGATACGACATACATCACGCAAATCGTCAAACTGCATCACGAGGCAAGCCCTAACTTGGAATCCTGAAGGGAAGCGGAAAAGAGGAAGGCCAAAGAACACATTGCGTCGGATAATAGAAGCAGATATGAAAAGGATGAATTACAACTGGACGGAGCTAGAAAGGATTGCCCAGGACAGGGTTGGATGGAGAACGCTGGTGAGCGGCCTATGCTCCTTCACGAGGAGTAACAGGCGTAAGTAAGTAAGTAAACGAAATAACCCAGCCTGAAGCGTTAGGGTTTAAAAAGCGCTTGAAATCTATTGTCTCGTGTCGAAATACAATTACAAGACCACCAATATCGTTTTTATCGCATTTGCGAAATTTTCATTTTTCCCACTTTTCAGACCCTGAGTTGGGGGTAATATCCCTTAACGTAGTATTGAATTCATGCTTATTTTGTGTACGAAACACTTCGGTGTTTATTGGGCTTCCAATATGTTTTTTTTTTGAAATCGAATGCCGGTACTGGTGTTGTTGTCTCAATAAAATATTCCACTGAATATGAAAGTAGAATGACGCATCCTACACTTTATTTCATTTATCTCAATACATTATTTTTCGCAATAATATTGAGATATTTTAGATAGATATTAACTACAAAGAAGTGCAATATAGTATTACCACTCACATGATACTCCCGATTTCTGGAGACAATAACGTAATTATTTCGTAAATTTTCTTCTCGTTTAAATATATTTAATGGTTTAAGAAAACCGCTATTATTGGATTAAAATAACTATACCTTCGATAAAAAAATGCTTTATATTTAGCGTTAGATTGATACCAAACTGGTTCTTATATGAGTCAGGACTTTATTGATTTTAGATTAATTAATCAGTCACGGTCAACGCAGAAGCTGGTACATACATACTTCGGCCATATTATACCAGTGCAGCGATCTGAGATTATGAAGAAAGTGCTGGATTAGTAGATGGAGTAGAAAAGATTAGGCAAGGACAGTGTAATTCGACGACAAAGAATGACTTTGTAGAATGGAAATTATCCGCATGTAAGATGAAGACTGAATACATCTGCATCATTTTGACCAATCCTGAGCCATGTAATCCACCTTGTCCTACTATTGGTCATGTAAGTTGCGAGGGCCCCAATCTGCTAGTCTGTGCATAATGGATTGATCGCTATTTTTCGTTTCTTTGTTTCACTAATTATCTCAATACACACCCACTGATATGGTTCGATAATTCGACTACTCGTTTTTCAACATTTTCATTATGAATTCCAATTTACCAATGAGATTTATTATCGTTTGTACAGAAAACCATATGTAACTGTTTTATATTATTATTCTACTTGTTACCCTCTCATTCTCTTAGATATTGTTCCCTTTGTTATCGAAGGTGCATAATTTATATCAAAGTGCACCTGTTGAAAAAGTTGGCGATAGACCAAATAGTTTATTAATTCATCATAGTCGTGATACTGCATCAAAACAATGGGCTGAAACAGTTGTATTAACGTTAACTGGTGTATCACATTGTTTTATATCAAAACAATCTCATTTGTTAACACTTAGTAAGTTCTCTGTTTTCTTCGGCTTCTTTTCGTTTCTGTTCGTCTATTAAAGTTTACATTGTACTTAAACTGAATACGTTTTTGTTACTGGTATGCATTATGGAATTACTCGCTGGATCCAAAGTTATCTAATGTTTATTTATGTGATTGACAGTTATACAGATTACTCTAATGACTTCTTGAATAAAGATACAACAACTACTTTTCATCCATGTGCCAACTACTCTAAAACACACGTTATGCAATGAAGGTGTATTGGTAAACATACTACAACCAATAAGTTACATGTATTAGTTACAGAAATAAATAATAAACTGAACAATTATCATATGAATGCAAGATTATAATAAATAAAATTGTCACACAAAATTAATTTGTTCTGCAAGTTAACAAACGGAAATCCCTCTTAATTTAATATATCAATATTACAAGTGGTTTCTTCATCAAAATGTTGTTTTTTTTTCTATTTCGGGGATTTCACATACTTAACAGTTTTCACTTAGATCGATGTCATGAATGGATCAATGTTAGACCACCTTAGAAAACCTGGAAGCGCACGACGGTCGTTTTGTCTTTATATGGGACTCCTCAGCAATGCACATTCACGATCTCGATAGTTTTTATTTAGTTGAAATAAGTGCTAACGAACATAGATCTAGTGTACTTTCTGTTGTTTTCTGGTCATTTAAGGTAGTTTCATTCAAGTTTATTTTCTGTTTCTTACAATACATTATTCTTATGCTTCATTCTTTGTTCTTTATTGTTTGAATCGTTTAGTTCTAGTACATTTAAAATACATGATGATAATACAGATTATAAGCACGTAAATATTAATCAAACTGATTGTATGCGTTATTTTTCGAAATAGTAGCTTGTCTATGCAGTTTTTACAGATCATGTATAATTACCATTCTAATGAACGACACTAAGTGTAATAAACGAAGTCTTCTTTTTGTGAAATTACACAATGAAATATATATATATATATATATATATATATATATCACTTGCACATCTTCCTTGAATTGTCCTTTATATACTGTATCATTCTTGCAATCCTGCTATTATTCAGATTGCTCTCTGCTTTCTTTCCTCTTCTCTTTCCTTCAATCTTCTGATGGTAAGCAATTCACTTTCATTTCGTACCATATACGTAGCTCACACCATATTACTACATAATCTATGGACAGTATGATGAAACAGGTATATAAAATGTTTTGTAATTTTCAGTAATTGCTTGTTTGAACAATAATCTTTGATAGCAATCATCATTCATAGATATTAAATTGTTGTCATTTCATTTTTCGGTAGACATTTGACTAAGAATAATACATATTATATTCGTAATTCCTTTTTTGTTCATGCAGAACATTTTGACAGTAACATCTTAATAATAATAATAATGCATATTAACCGACTGTTTCATTGTCAACTCGAACTGATGTACTTACGTACTTACGTACGAAGTTCTACGTTGTTACTGACTGACTATAACAAATGTTTGAAAGCATGATAAAACAAATATATTGAGTTGAATAGTGTTTGTTTTAAGCTCATCCGATAAAAAAAGAATTAAATTAGTCAAAGTGATATATGGCATATTTTATTCATGGCCTAAAAACATTAATATGATGAGACGTGTTGTTATTTCTAATTTTTTTTATTTTTCAATTTTCACTTTAATGATTAATTGTTCTAATGAAAATCTGTTGAAATTTATGTTTCGTTTATATTTCAGGGGATCTTTTTTTTCATAAAAAGATCTCTCTTTTCAAAATTATAATAATCAAATCACGAATTGCTTTTGATATTCCATATTGTCTCATTAGTATTTATACACTTCTTTCTCTGAAATATTATCGAATGATTATCTGCCTACATTTATTAGTTTTTCACGATTTTTGCATCAAATGCCTTAAATATTCAACATTCACTGTACAAGTTTCATTATCCTAGTTAACTCAAATCACTCAATTATTAATGAATTATCAGTGTATGGTTGTGGAGAATGTTGACGCGCACTGTTAAAGTTTGCGCTGATGATGTTCAGAAGAACGATGAAAGCTCCGCGACTAAACCATCCAGCTCAGAGAACAAAACACCAAAAACTGTTGAGAAGTTTCGTACTGGGATGAAACAGCTATCCAGTGCTTCCTGGTTTTTATTGATCTCTATGAACGAAATGTTTGAATAGGGAACAAAAAGTTTGCACTCTAAATAGTTAACCTAATGTTATCCATTTTACGATTGTTTATAGTAATTTCTTAAAGAAATCTCGAGGAGTTCAATTGGCATAGGTTTCAGATAGTTACATGAAGTGATTGGTATGGATGCTTTACGGTTCAGTTTGCTAATTTTGATAAATTATTTAATGTCGTGCTGAGTGTTTTTTCTTTCACAGAAAAAACGATAACATTTTAATTGAAACGCGATTTAAAAAAAATCATTTTGCTATCATTTTGATTAATTTCAAAAAGGTGATTTTATAAAATGTTGGCAGATATTACTTGATTATTTGAAAGTGACTGCTTATATGGATAGTGGAGAAATTTCATTAGCTTCATTAAATTGTATGCAAATTTTACTTGATATACAACTCCCTTCTTATCCTACACCATCCTCATCTTCATCTACAACACCATTGCTAACATCAAAATTGATTTGGTCTGCCTATTGGGAAACTTGGTTACAAATTGGAAAACGAGCGATAGCGTTTGCTCAGTCTAATAATAGTGATAACACTTTTCCACTTACTACAAATTTATCTGTAAACTCTTCTGATTCTCAATATATTAGTGACAACAGTAATAGAATTGTAACGGTTAATGAAAGTGGTGAAAAGGTTAGTTTGTAAATTATGATTATTCGATTGTTGTTTCACATATACATGTATTGTAAAATATAAGAATATTCTGTATTTCCCAGTAAACTGGAAATAGTTTATGTGGTGTAGTTTTATTTATTTGATCGTTTCCTTAAGCATCAGGTACATACATGAACAATTAATTAATCTTTAACGACGTACATTCATTCATCGGGATAAATGTGTCAAGTTTCTTCTGTTGCATTTATATATACAGGCCCGAGACTAAACGTTTAGTAATGAAAGTTTAGTTTTTCTAAGAACTAATGAGCAGTATTGCTGTCAGATATGTATATCGACAAAGAATTGACCTAAATTAAACATAATTTTGGTCGTTAGTTTAACATCAACAAGTTAGAACTATAAAAGTCGGGACTGGTATTTCGTTTTAATTTACAATATATTATTAATAAATACCACTGATCTCACACCGAATCCAATTGGGAATTCTCAGGTTTCTATGTTAGAATAGTAACTATTTAAAAACTTGGAATTCACTGGTCTACATTTTCGTGTTCAGTTTTTTTTCTTATCATTATACAGCACGTCATCGGATATCATCGATAGACATTCACTCAACTTACTACTGATTGGTTGATCTAATAAACAGTAAACACAGCTGTTGAGCAAAACTTCGAGACATCTACTTTGAATATGACTGTCTATAAATAAATAATTATTTTCGTGCTTATGCGTATTTTTGCCACTTCATGTAAATAGAATGTTAAAAAAAAACTATAGTCAAGCTTTTATTTGCGTTACCTCGATCATTACATTTTCCACGTAACTGAAGTAATAAAAACTGATTATTCCTAAATATTTACACACTTCAGTTTTTATACTTTTAATTGTCTAAATTACTGCTAATTCGAAACAGTAACACGCGTTCCCTTGATAGTTTATGCAATCAAATGCTAGAAAAAACTATATCATAAGCAGAAATGAAGGCAATATCGAAGCGATCCGCACAGGATGCACCAAACACCAATAAGAGACTAAACATCAACGGAATGATTCAAACAACCAGTATAAAAATGAATTAACTGTATCACTTCTTAAACTTATCTACATTAAATTGTTTTGCACAGAAATGTTGAAAAAGCAAACAGTTTTTAACATTATACGAAACTTTACTAAAGTATAATCGATCCATAATTATTTGTTTTGTTTTTGCTTTTTCTTCATATCATTTATTATCTTCAAGATTTGTTATCCTCCATTTATATACTTGCCAAGTATATCATTTATCACATTATACTTTGATTTATTCATACCAATATTTAATTATATTAAAGAAGATTTTCATCTGAAAGATTTCGATCGATTAGCTGAATTATTACAAATTGGTGTATTAATTCCATTGTATATTAATTATTTATTTCCAACCGTTTCAACTACAACTATCATGACTACACTATTATCAACAACACCTTCAATGATAATTGATGATGGTGCATTGAATTCGTTACAAGAGGCTGTATTACGTTGTTTAAATTGTCTTGTACAGGTGAAGTTAATGTCCCTCTTTTTTTTTGCTTACGTTTCATTAATGTGTGTATTTCTCGGTTTATAAACATAATATTCCTCGAAAATTTTACCTCTTCATTTCAATCCAAGTTTTTTTTCCTGTGAGCAGTTCATTTTTACTTTCATTGAAGACATATCTTCTCCTCCTTGATTTGTTAATCAATACCGAATAGCGACAATATTTTGAGCAGCTTCATATTATACTAACACTAATATATTTCATAGTTTCTTATTTTTTACATCAAAAAAGTGAATAAATAACAGTTGATGTAATTGGATAATAATTTTAACGGAATTCAGTCGGTTGTAGATGTTTTGCATGTCATATCTTTGAGGCAAGTAAACCAGAATCTAGACTCCAATCCTTTAACATAGTTGAATGTCTTAGCAACAGGTGGTTTATATTTAATGCGTTTACATATTTTTCATAGCCGGTTAGAAACATAAGAATGAAGTTTTGTGTTTGAAGTAACTAGTGTTCACTGTGGTGTTCAAACGTCCATCATCCAGCTCTACAGTGTGAATCACCAACAATGAGCTATCGGGGCCACGACTGACTTTATTTGTGCTTTACATATTGACCACTGATTAATCGCTGAATAGTGACTAATGTCATGTACATTTGACCCTTCACTACTAATTCGATTCCGTTCCATTATATTGTATCTGGCTACTGACGAAAGTTACTTGCATAAACTAAACTTTTCTTTTTAATGGTTGGAGGTAATTATCAGGAGACCTTGGATCGAATCTGTCAACAAAGAGAATGGCCTATAATATTTTTTTAACGTTTGTGACATATAATCTTAAATATATATCAAGAGATGAACAATCATATCACAATTAACAGAGATAGACATTTTATTCTTACTTATTCTCATTTGTCTTTTTATTTATGGTTTATTATTCATACAACTGAAAATTTATTGATAATCATAAAACTATAAGCACATTTGAAGAAAATCATCACTTTCGAAATTTTTAATGGATTTAACTGATATGAGTCAATAAAATGAATAGTGTGTACTGATTTCTATTTGTTTGTCCGTCAATGAGATTGTAATTGATGTCCCAACGTTTTTGAATTGCTAATTACCAGTGCCAGTACAAATTTGGTCAATATTTCCGAACAGTAGATAATTAAATTGTAGCTCTAATATTTCATTCGGTTATTTATAAGTGTTTATTATGGTCAGTTATCCATGAAAACCTGATGCTATCGTTAATTATTCATAAATAGTTCCGATACTGTTTTTACTGTCTATCATTGATTATGTTACAAGATCATATGTAATGTGAATATATACTCAAAGTTGACCAGAAGCTTAGGTGTATTTATTTTTTCTGGTCCATTAATACAAAGGATACCTGTGCTATTCGTTTCGATGATATGATTAATGTGATAACTAGAACAATTGTTTTCAATTAGATCGTCATCAGGCTTTACTCTAATATACATGAATATTTATACGAAAATTTTAAACCAATCAAGGCAATATGGGTCAATCATCACAATGAAATAGAATAAGTCTCTACACATAATAGGTAAAAATACAAGTTTATAGTAGGAAGACAGGTGAACTGATAATAGTAAGAATAATAAAATACGATAACAAAAGTCTTATCAATAGTTGAATGTTGGAAATAGAAGGTCAAACAAACATGGGTAAATAGACTAGGAATAGTAATCACAAAACATTAAAATCATTACGTAATAAGAGGTGTGTAAATAATTAGATAGTGAAGAATACAAACGGAAAGAGGCGGAAAATTACAAACAAATACTAGATGTGAAAATAAGGTTAATGATAACACAAATAGAATAAAATAAATAATGATAATAATAAAACTTAAAAAAAATTGTTTGTTAAGTTATAACTGGCCATGGAAGGGATAGGGGGGTTACGTATTTCTTCTGTACACATAAATTGGGGTTATATGTACGAATTCCAATGGCTTCAGCTATATATAGGAGACGGGAACGGACTCCGTCGGGAAATGATGGAGGTATGCGATAGATAACTCGAAATGATTTCGACTTATCTACTGCATGACCGCTATCAATAAGATGTGCCAATATAGAACTGCGAATAAATTTTCTCTGGCCCTTTATGTACCAAGTTGGTAGATGTTCACTCATTCGTTAGTTAAGTTGCCTGGTAGTACGCCCTATAGAGCTATCTCCACAGGAGCAGCTGAATTTGTAAATGCACATAGAAGAGGCCAACTCAGGTAACTTATCCTTCATTTGAGTAGACATATGATAACTGTTTTTGACTACCAAGTTAGTTAAATAAATAATATACTTAGTGAAATAGATTCATCACTCTTCAATAGTTATTTTCTGTAAGAAAACTGTTAATATTTCAATTAGAAACTATGACGTAATAAAATATGGAATATATAACACTATGGTTAGCCAACACGAAACTTTTGGCAGTATATCATCAATCTGTTTTGTATTATAACGCATTGACAAAGCATAAGTTTTATGTTCTAGACTTAGGGGTTCCTTATTTCTCTGAAAGGTAGTAAAATTACGCGGGTGATAAGATTAAACTAAACGAAAGGGGTTTCGAATCTGCAACTTATTGAGAGCTTAATCATTTAATTAATAAACCGCCATAGTATGTAATTCAATCAGGTTTCAAAATACTATTGAATTCCTACCTACTGTAAACATTGAACAATTCTGGGTTGAATTTTATATATGATTAAAAATGAATACTTCCTATCGGTTAATAAATCCATTCATTCTTAGTAGTTCTGTAATTAATATCTGTCAATTATTAAGATTTTATTTAAATAACAGTTAACGATACTCATTATCTACTTTCTCTTCTTACTCGAATTATCTTTCCTTAGATTTTATGGGCTACCAAATTATCTCTGATTAGCTTTAATAAAACTTCAATGAAACAAGAGTTTGTAATGAGTTTAAACTTTTATGCCTAAATTCTCTTTCTTTATGAACGAACGTGCTCTTTATTTGATTTTCAATACATTGGCCTAATTTTCTTTTTTTCTTACAGAATTTTGGTTCTGATCAAAATAAGGACGAAAATAGTAATAATAAGAATAATAGTAACATAACTAACAGTCGTTCCTCTTCAATACTTCCACGTGTATTACAATTGCTGCTCACTATAGCTGGTTATGCTGTTCGAATTCCTAAACCACATCATTCGGACAATCATCGAGTGAGTTTTTTGGTTATTATAACACCTAGAGCTTAACGGATGATCACATTTTGCAAATAATGTTAATCATTTTCCCTTCCGTTTTATATTTCATTCATATTTTATATGGATAGTAAGTTTATCATTTGAATACCATTATAAGTCGTCCAACTGTTGATTAGGATTAATACACTTCTATCTGATGTAAATAATCCAGTTGTATAGGTTGTTCTGTTACTGTAGAATTACTCAACATCTTTTATTCCATTGTAGTTTTACAATGATTGATAACAATTCTTTATAGTTACAAACTAGGTGATATTTCAGCATATTCATCCGTTTTCTTAGCTGTTCTACATCGATTTGGTAAAAAAAAAACACCTTTAGATTCTAAAAATTTTAAGTCAAGCATATTTGTCTCCTTGTTTTTTGTATAATATAAATCAATCTTTTGTTGGTTTATGCATCAGTTTTCGACATATTGTGTTCGTCATTAATAAATATCATTATAATGTGTTTCATTGACCTTATGTACTGACACAATATTCAAAACAATTATTATCATAAGCTGATTTCAAAAGCATTTTCATCTTAATATATATAATTATACAGAGTTTAAATACAAGTCAGATGTATTGTTCATTGAAGTTTCTTTAAAACTTTTGATTTTTCATAATCTCTGTCAATTACCTATGGAACATTCACTGATCAATGTATTTGAAGTGTCCCATTAATCTTTCGTATTTAAAATTAGGTCGAATTTCTTCAGACAGAAATTTTAACTGCTTATTATTTTGGTATTTCCAAAGCATTCGGTTTTTAAAAAACCAAATTACAATAATTTATGCTGTTCAAAATCATTAGAAAGAAATAAGACTGGCAGCCTAGTACTGTTAGCATCACTTAACGCTATGCTTCACTATTCAATAAACAATGTTCTGTTTGATTACGTTGCCATATATTAGAATAATACTAATTTTTCGAAGTTGTATAGTTAATAGGTTAGATGTTCTACTTTATTCAAGATGATCTAATCTTTATCAAAGTAGGTTAATGAATATTATCGATATTGATTAATTTCTTGATATCTTTCTTGTTCTTCTACCTTTTTACATTTGTTTGTTAATAGCTTGATGTTGTTCCGCTCAATTATATTGTATTTGCTGAAAAATCTTTATTAATCGCTGTGGATTTATATCAAACAACTGTTACATGGCCTGAAATGTGCAGTGTTGAAATACTTGACTCTATAATCAAAGTATGTTTTTATCATTAGTTTTTGAATTAGTAGGTTTCTAGATGTTTTATATACTGAAATTAAATATCGAATGTTTATCATGTAAATTAAGACATTAATGTTTAAATGGGAATTATCTGTCAGTATCATGTAAATGTTTTTTTTTCGAGCAGATTTTTCAGTATTATTATTCAATGAAGTACATTTTTTATTACCGCTAAAATCACATGTTGTTGTTATCTTTTAATGATAATTCACAGAAAAACGTTAACTAATACGACATATGTTCATTTTCTTATAAACATCTTTGAATTTTCAACATTTATTTATCTCATTTTGATATGCATAGTTGTTTGAGCATATGTTATTTGTTTTTTGTCTTTCACTTCTTAAGTTAGACATTTATTGACAAGTTAGAAGCAATTGAGATCGGTTTAGTCCCTAGTATGAGAGTCTTCAGCAGTGTACATCCAGCCTTGTGTATGGACGCATAATTTCTAGATCTCTGAGCTGAAATTCAATGACATATATGTCTAACCTCAATCGATTTACTATAGTGCGAGACAATTTATCGTTCCCTTCAATAGATTACTAACCGACACATCAATTTTCATTTCTACTAATCACAGCTCTTCGCTAGAATCCTAGGATTACCGCTTAAAATTAAGACATGATAATTATCAATATAGAGTTTTGTGGAAAATACTAAGTTTCAGTGTTATCATGAATGCAGCTACTTTTCTTTAGAATATATTGTCGTCAAAAAAGAAGAAAGGAAATTACTAGAAATGTTTATACTACACTGATATCATTACACACATGGATTTACTGTTATGGATTATTATAATAATTAATAAGGTTTACCTGAGCTTTGAAGAATATTAACCGGTCAATATCAGCTTATTTGGTCAGTGTTGAACACTAGAATCTCGCTATTAAAATCTCTTTCTCTGTGCTTGTTTATTTCATCTATCGTTGTGCATTTGTAATCTATCGTGATAAATTTAAAAGATCTGAATTTATTTTTGGTCCAAATCGTACGTGTTTTATTTCTATTACATTTGGTTTTATCTATCATTCTATTCTTTTCATATTGTTTGATCTGGTAATCACGGTTAAGGTAGGGTGTGGAATAAACGGTATGGAAGAGTGAAAACCTTAGGTTAATAATTAACTCATTTTTACCTACTGTATGTAAACTCTTGTACTACTGGACAACAAAAGTGAGATGTATCTCTCAAATAAGCTGATGATTATTTTAAAAAATAAAAGATAGTTGAGCAGTGCAATGCGAAAAATAAACGGATAAGAATACTGCATAATTTTAAAATACCATATTTAAAAACTTCATTCCTTAATTGAGTTTGTCTCACATCTATCAAAAATGTGAAAAACGAATTGTAGGACGGTCTTCACTGTTCTCTATTCTGAGCTATGTCTTATAATGTTTCAAGCTATTGAGTTACGTTGTCTCTAGGATCCCAACCACGGAGTCTTGATGGGCGAACAAATCTCAGTCCTATACAACTTTATTTCATATCACGGGCCTATATGACAAACGTTTGGGAAGGGATTGATAAGTAATTTTAGAGAGACTGTTCTATCCGCTCCGCTTAGCTACCTACTCAAACAATTCGCACAATAATATTAAACTCAAGTTTTCACTTGTTTCTCTTCATACATGTATATATTCTTCATTTCTGAATTAGATGCTAAATAACTTAAGGTTACGGATTAGAAACACTAGACTCAAACTCGACTGTTCCTGACTCTTATTAAAAGAATGATTGCAAGTTTTCGGATCCTTAGATGTTCCTATAGGTCACTAACTGATAAATTTAGGTATTATTGATCTATTTATGAATATATATACCATCGATCTTTTCGTTAAGTTGAAAAGATTAATGTTCAACTCTGTACCGTATTTCTTTTTCTATGTTTTAAAAGCAAATACGATGTATTGTAATAATATTGATTGTACAGTACTAGAATACAAAAAAATTCTTAACATGATTTTGTTGTTATTATTATTAAACTAAACTTTTTGAATAGTTTTCCCAAAGTATTGATTTATTCCTATCTTGTTGCTTATTCCTCACGTTTTACGCTTCTCAACATTTCTGGTTGCTTAATTTTTTATTTTCAGTTAAGTAACATATTTCTTTGAATTTATGTTTTGTTTTATCCTAATATCATTACTGTGGTGTATGCTACTTATGTCGACAGACATGAGTCGTATATAACACCAACCAGAACTCTAATGCCTGGCAACAAAAGTTTAAGAAGATCGAATTGAAGAGAATAGAAATAGAAACAGAGTAATTGTAATAACGAGAGGAATGAAGGAACGATGAAGTTTGTAAGAGACAACCGATGGATGATGCGCAAATGAAATATTTAATGTATAGTTTTCATATTTCACGAAATCATTCTGTTATTTGTTCGTTTAATATTTCATTTTTGTCCTGTTATCATCGAAAAATGTATCAAAATATATAATAATACTTTTTTAAACATACCCTCAGTCAATTTTTCCATAGTTTTGTCGTAAATTTAATATTCAGCTTATTTACTCATTCTGTTCCGTTTTACTCAATTCTTTTATTTTATAATAGTATGATGATAATCTTTATGATTAAATTTAACACTTTCTTCCACTAAATGCATTCTTGTTCTTTCTTTTTTTTACTTAACTGTTATTCCATTTACAGACATTACATCAACCAATGGCATTGAAATATGCTTGTCCATCACAGACTACCTGGTTACTTGCATGTCGTTGCTTTTTTCAAGTGATTACTGCTGGTATTATTGTATTGTCGAACAAACCAATGAATATGTCCAAAACTTATAATTCCAATAAAAAAGACTCTATTCCCTGTAGCGGTGGTGGTAAGTTACGTACAATTTTCTTTCAATTAATCAATAATTTAAAATAATAATGAAAACTTCTTCGCTTGTATCCTTTTTCTTTTATTCGTGAATTATTATCTATCTTACCAACTTTCAATTATATAATTGATCCAGTCTGAATGTGTACTGTGAACCGATGTTGTTTTGATTCTCAGGACTAAAATAAATGTGGAAATTTCAAAATAATAACTTTAATAGTTGTACAGAAGGAAATATATAGTTTTTTATATTATGATTAAGTAATCGTGGCTGATATAAAAGTATTCGATAGAACAATTTTTCTGTTTTCTAAGATCATTTACCAATAGTGATCGGATTGTAATACAATAAGCCTCATTTTCTATTTTCTATTTGTTTGGAGTTTATTATCCTAAAACTACTGTTGCTGATCACTTTGATGCTTTATTTAGCGATTGAAATCTTTATGAATATCATATGATTCGATGAAATGCTTATCAACTAATAGAAACGATTCTCTTCCATTAATCTGAGGAGATAGAAATAACCTTAACAGTCATATTCTTCGTTGGAGGACGAGCGACTTATATAACTGGTTTTATCTGGTCGTTAATGTAATTTCATCGTATTACTTTTGTGTTAATCGTTTTTTATATAAGCACGTTCTACTAAAATCAAAGCCAATTCTTCTGGTTTTTAGTTTTATTCTTTATGTTAAATTACTTAACATCTGACGTAAATAATGCGATCTTGTATGCGGCCAGCACTTAGCCATGTTGTATCTCTGCATATCATTTATCAATCAGCACTCTTTCGTTTAATTCTCCTGATGTATTGGCGTATTTATTTCATTACTGTGACAATTCGCAAGCGGCTTTTCATTACAAACCACAAAATCTAATCCATAATAGTCATTTTGGCACGTGGTACTCAATCTCCTGTATTTGTTAAATAGAATATATACCAACACAAATATATCTGTAAAGTATCCTCAATTCAGATTCCCTTGATAGCCAAGTTACTACTGACCATTGTTTCATGTTTGTTTAGCATGCTTTTCAGTTGGTTTCAGTTCTTAGCTAAGAACTTCGTTCTCAATAAATGTTTATTGTGTAGGTACCGTATAAAATATGATGTCCAATTTTCCGTCATAATTTGATCCATTTTCTAATCAATTAGGAAAAGAAATTTCAAAAAATATTCTTTATGCTACTTATCTATCAGTAGACATATTCCATATTGTTTATTTCCACTTTTCCCATTCATATATTACAGTGATATCTTCAAATCATGATTTATGTAAACATATTGTGGACGCTATTCAAGATTTTCTTTTTTGTCAAAAGTAAGTTATTTAATTAGAAACGCATGAATTATTAGTATAGGATTATTGAAAATGCTTTGAAATATTTTCTTTAATATATTTTCCTGTTATAACGTATACATACAACGTAAAGAGCTTTGTCCAGATCCAGGTCAAATAAAAATCCACTAATTCTCAAATCTTATGCGAGCTATACTTATACTGAATAAAAAGTAGTATCTTATTGACTTTTCTATAAATTAGATAATATAACTTTGATATTACGGTCTAATAAATGAACGTGTATCAACTATAAACTATTATTGTGGTGTATGCTACTTATACTGACTGATATAAGTAGTATGTAGCACCAATCTCAGTGGAACGCCTGGCAGAAAAACATTGAAATGTAGAAAACAGGAAGGAAACTGGAGTACAATTAAAATAACAACAGAATTAGATGAATAATGAAATATGTAAAGGACAAAACAAATAATGTATTTCATGTATGCTTTTCATATTTTACTAAGCCACTGTGTGACTTATCATTAAACAATAAAGTGGTTTACCCTTCCTGAGTATATAAATAGGACAAATGTAATTCATTTTATTTTTATTTTTTTGTTTCTATCCATAAAATGTAAAAATAACTACTGTTTAAAAGGAAATGGAATATAATCATTATAAATCTCAGAAAATTACTTTTATTGGTCATATATTTTTTGAAACTATAGTTTATCATTTCAATGATAGCAATTTATTAAGTGTTTATGATTGATCTACAATAATTCCTAGTTACAAATGATTTGTATACTTTAACAATTTGAGATTGAATTCACTTGTACTCCCTCATAGATATGACGACTAAATGATACAGCACTTAAGGAATATTCTAAGCGTGTTAGAAAATAGGAAGAAGTTAAGAGTTCAGGACAAGGTAGATATTTAAGAAAACAATTTTTAATGAGAATAATTTTCTATAAAAAGTAATAAAAAATTATGTAGATGAAGTTTTGTTCTTTAAGCACAAAGCTACAAATTTTGTCCAGCATCTCAATAAAAATGACTTTGGGCCATATAGACAAATTGGTAAACTACAAGTGATTATAGTCAATTTCAATAGTGAAGAGTGTCATTGTAAAGTTATAAATTTAGAGAAAACAATCATAATTCTCCTCACAGAATTTGAAACAAACATTTATCACCAGAAAAATTTAGATAATCTGAAATCACCCTAGCAACACCATCAGAGAGAGAGAGACATTATGAATAGAAAATAAAATTATCATTTATATTCGGATGAATGCTAAATACTAATACATCCTCTTTTAAAACAAAATATCATGCAAAGTTTGCAATAACACTATTCATCAGTTTGGTTCCAGTTGTTACTCTGAAGTAGTAATTCAGTGTATAACATTTTTAAAAGTAGTACTGTACACAATTGGTTGTATTGACAATAAGAAATTAAAGAAGAAAAATTTCACATTTCAATTTTAATTTGAGATAATTTATTAGGATATATGTGATATTATTAACATACTTCAGACTATTGACATTTATATCTTCCAACATATTGTCTCCCTGTTACCAGATCTATATCGTGCAACATACTTAATTCTTACTCAAAGCTTTTTAAACATCTATGCTATTCATTCGAATACTACATTTTGACTGGCCACCAGGGCCCTATTCAAATTTCAAGGCAAATTAAGTAATCATATATATTGTTGTCAAGCTGAATAACTACTCTGCTGGTCAGTGGCCTATGCTCCACTGATAGTAACAGGCATAAGTAAGTAAGCTCAACTACTCGAAGTTGTTTTTAAGAAACAGTTTGTCTTTGCGTTATCAGAGACTATATTCACATTGCAATGTTTAATGCGCTATCTGTTTGAATGAACTGATTTCGTAGATATACTTTGTGCCATGCTTTAACTGTTAACCAAATAAATATAAAAACAAACATATCTTCCAATCAGTTTTCTAAATTAATCGTATTGTAATAATAGAACTGCATTTATAGGAACGATTATACTGTGTTGATACAGTTATATATTACACACTAGATTGAATATGTCCCTAATCTGCAGTGAAGGTGGGATTCTCCATGCAATCAATAATAACATTTAACTCATTCTGATTTTTCCAATATTATCATTACAAATTGTTTATATTGCTTTGCCGTATCGAAATCTTCACTGAACTAGATTGTGTTGATTTAAAGGAACTTGCGTTAGTGATCACTGAGATTGTAAGGTGAGCAAATTAATCTTCGTTATTATCTGTAATACTGTTGAATAGAAATACAACTGCTGAACTTAGCTGTAGGACACAACCAATTAAAGTCAGTTTAAAAAAACAATATTTCGTAAATCATGATATATATATATATATATATATATATATATATATATATAGTTTGATAGTCACGATGACTTTTATACACCTCATGTTTATTTGTTAATCTGTTTATACCAATTACTTCACTTTTAGTGAACCACCATCATCCTTATCAACTGAAGAGTTCCAACTACACGAAGAATTAGATTGTAAAGTTAGTTAACTGTATGAATGTTTTATGCTTTTGTTTTCATTAAAACAACAGGCTTATTTACTTACTCTAGGAGTTTTTGTTGTGTTCTTATGCCTCGCTAGATATCACGTAATAAGATCTCTAATTAGAACACCCACCTATTTGACATTAGCACTGTGCCAAATCAATGACGCGGTAACCAGTACAAGAAACCTAGAGTCAACTTCGAGATTCTGATTAGTCATCCAAGATAGATTCCTGCCCAACCTTACTCGTTGATTCCAGAACACAATCTCAGCTTCCACTGTATGAATCTTTTATTTCAGACATACTCTGTTTGTATACAAGTAAATCAAACCGTATTGTACCATAAAATGAAAAAAAAAACTATACAAGATCAAGCCAAAAATGTCTGTGAGCGTGAAAGACTGTAATTGATAGATTGGAAATAACTTAAGAATAGTAAATCGCATCATAGTAGCGAACAGGTCATATAGAAGCTTATGATAAAAGGAATATAAATATATATAATGTTATACAATATATACAACGGTCTATGAATAGTTCACAGAGGTTACCCATAATTTAATATTCGTTAGGATATGACACCTCCCTTTTTTGAAGATCTGCAGCTTAGATCCTGATATATATATATATATATAAAATAAGTATTTTTGAATTTCCGACATTATCTTCCCCCACAAAATAATGTTGGATTCTCACATTGACTAGAAAATCCACTACAAGTGACTACATGTTGAGGATAAACAACATTTGGTATGACGTTATCAGAATTTAATTCTTCTAAAATATTTTCCCCAATTTTTTTAAGAATTTCATTGGAGAATAATGGGTCATTAGAAAAATCGGCATCTATCAAAACTGCATCAAGTTTCCGATCATGATTTGATTCATTCGCTATATTTTTATAAGAATTTCCATAAAAAATATGTGAATCATCAGGAAATCCTTTTTCTGGTAAAACAACATAAAAAATAAGTTAAGAAATTGATTCAATAGAAGCTTTTATCTCACAATGTTTTTGAGTTACATTTGATACACTTATATTCTCAAAGAATTTATTGTGTATTTCTTTTGAAGACCAACACTATATGGATGACTGGGTTATTATGTCCCTCTCAGAAAGGAAACGCTTCCGACTATCTATCACTATCTACTTCCCTAATTTACTAAACAAAACTTACATAAATAGTTAGAAAGCCAACTTGAACTTGTTCACATGTATTTCATACTCTGGTTTTAAACAAAAGCTTGATAATTCAAATTCATAAAATTATTGGTTTTCAGTAGTCCTGAATAAAATGTTTGTGTTGAGAGTACTCCTTTATGAGCTATTTCTGTTTCATTAATATGTAACTAACATTTCAACCAATCAGAACTTGTTTCTTATTATGTACTATTTATCAATTCGTCTCAAGTTTCACTAAGCGTAACCACATGGTAAACAAGCTTTATTTTTCGAGTGAATTAAGAGCAATTATTTTACAATATATGGTATATAATCATGTATGAGTTTTGCATACTACTATTCTAAATTTTTAAGTAATATCTCTTCGTTTTTTATCTTTCTATCCCTTCCTGTTATTTTTTTTTTTGCTATGAAAAATCCATAAACAAACCTAGTTCGTAGATTTAATCAGCGATTTATTCCTGTCGAATCCTGCGCAATTGCCAGAATTCTTCATCAGTCGTCTAATTAATTTACTCAGCCTGGGTTCTGTACAGTCGGCTATTCCAGTCAGTACAACAGTTAATGAAGATGTTAATAATTGTAATAACAGCAGTGAAGATTTTAATACGAATGGATTATATCACCATAATTCCATCGATCACCATTCTAGTGTATCTCACAGTGGAATAAATTTTTCTAAAGGTCTAGGTCGAGCTGTTCGTCAAATGAGTTTGGTTACCTCACTACCTCATGATGAACTTATGAACGAATCTTTGGGGTGGGACATTGATCTTGATCGTTTGAGACGGTTAACGTTTCGTGAAAATTTCGCTCGTTTATGTTTTGGAAAATTATTGTCACATGCCTTTTCAGCTCCTTCAGACGTACGATTATCGTCAACCATATCGACACCAGTTTTGTTAGAGAACGGTCATGTTGGAAATAACAATGGCTATAAAATTGGTCCATCAAGTACAAATTTTTCACTGATGGTTAGTAAAACAGCTGTACGCAGTATCCTGCAAAGATGTCGTTCTGTATTGCTTAAGTTTTATCAGTCGTCGCGATTGATTGGAAAATGTCCACTACCTCGGTGAGCTTCGATTCTAATAAATTATTTATTCATTTCTTTACAAAAGTTAATTGACTTTGTTTTTTTATATAATTCAACTGTATATTAAGGCTTATCTTCTGTTTGGAGAGGCAATCACTATCAAACGTTTCCGACCTGACCTGTGTATACAGAAGGAAAGTGTGATTAGCCTTTCCCTACCATGGTGATTTGTGGTTCATCTAATAAACTTTGTCAATTTCAACATTTCTTTTTTCCTAAAGACAGCAAGAACAAAGATTGGTGCAGAATAATATGAATTCACTTTGTTTCGTTAGTTCCCCATCAGCTGCTTACAATCTAAAATATCTGAAAATCAACATTACAGGTATTGACATACTTACACATAAGAGGTTGATTAAAGATGAATATATGTATCACGATGTAGCGAAGATTTCAATAGAGTTAATAAGGTCATGAAAAATTTTGTTTCGGATAAATAAAGTTTGGGAGGGAAAGTTCCAGAACATTGAATTAGTGACTAGAACTCACGAATTTAACAAACATTAGGTGATTATGTAATGAAGCAACTGATAATAGATTAATGGTAATAAAGGAAAATATGAATTGAAATCAGCCAGTTATGAATTGATGAAAAATGACAATGATATAATTGAAACTTCAAAATAATGGATGGCGTAATAAATGTAAAGAGTATAATGTTACCAGGGTAAAGAAAGATTTATCACTATTTCTTTTTGGATTCATAGATCTGGTTTTAGACGTTTGATTGCGATCGCTTCGGCAAATTTCAAGAGGTTGGAGTTTGATTATTTTTTAATCACCTTGAAGGACTTCACTATATCGATTTCATGTCCTGTGTCACGGAGATTTCTTACTATGGCACTGCTGAATTCTTTTAATCCATTTGATCTTAAATTTTTCGGAAAATGTTCCTGGAATCGGACATAGGCTCTCCTTTCTGTTCCATCAATGTAACTGCTTTGGCAGATACATGTAAATTTATACACACGAGTGGTGGTAACATGAAAGGGATTGTGTTAAAGAATATGTTGTATTAGACAGGACAATCAGTTTAGCTACAGGATAAGTTCTTGTCAATTCAGTTTTTGGTCTCATTGATTGACTCTGTGACATCATCACCATTGACCTTAAGCAGTTTCTTTGGGTTTTTTATCTCCACGTTTTTCATATTTCTCAATAAATTTCAGTGGGTATCCGTTATTCTCTAGACATCTTTTAACATCCATAACTGCCTTTTCTGATGTATCGGCAGTACATATTCTTTCCCTTCTGTGAAATAGTATTTTGGCAAGTGCCTTTTTGTAACTGATTAGTAAAGAGCTATTGAAATTGAGATAAACCCCACTCCATTAGTCTTTCTTATAAACTGAGCGTTGAACTGTTCCTTTATTTCATTGCGACCCTGTCTCTAATCCTTTTATCTTTGTTTTTGTCTCATCTTTTGATATACATATCTTACATAGTCTTATCGATTTTGGTATATTTGTTTATTTTCTCATGTTGACTGATTACCCAATCACTTATAAATTTAATGGAAATTCCCACTTTGACATTTGGTTAAAAAAAGAATGAATTGAGTAGTGACGTTATGTATTAATTATATGATGTTATAATAATTGTAAAATAGCATTGAGCAGTTGGAAGAAACAGAATTTCGATAATTAAAGTAATTATTTAAAAATCAAGCAGATGCTGCGTTGCATAATACATAGAAAAACAAGGAACTAATAAGATATTTTGATGAAAGGTCAGTATTTCGGGCCCATAAATGCCGTGGTACGGTTGATAGTGGGGAGAATCAGCTCTCCCCCTCGAAATGCTCTCACATGGCCACACGTATACAACCACTTCAGGGAATTCCTACTCACAGCTTTCTCGCGGCGCGAGTGCACTGTCACTTCGCTGTTTTATTTTACTTTTCCTAAATCAACGTTACGCGAATCGTTAACTTTTCATATGGTTTCTCTTAATAAGGACATCTTCACCATAACTTCGCTCTTCCAAATTTTTCCCCAAAAAGTATGTTGTAAATTCTTTTTATGTCTGAACACTTTTTGTGTTTTATCTAAAGGACAAGACTTGTAACCGGATGTAATTTTTTTCTCCAGTATATATTACGTTGATATTTGTTGTGTCATTTTTATTTACTTATCAAAACAACTTTAAAGTCACGCCAAATTATTAAGATATAGTCAAACAAAAATATAAATTCGAGTTTTCTTCGCTGTATGTAACGTTCGAAACTCCAGTACACACTTATCAGGGTCAGGTGTTTTAGTATTTATATCTTTTTGTGAAAATAAGTGTGATCTTAAGTTAAACACACGAGTGTATACTTAGTTTTCGAGTATCAATCGAAATTTTTCTATCAGAGCAGAGATATCTCATGCAATTAGTTCACTTTATGAATGTAAATAAAGCAAGAACAAATCTTGATGCAGAATAGTATGAATTCACAATATTTCGAGGTTTCTCGTCATCTGCTAACAACCGAAAATGTGATAAAATTTTTACATTGAGATAGTGTGAAACAATTGACATAAATGAGTGTAAATAACTGGAATACAGTTGACCGGTTAGCTAATATAAAATATTTTGCTTATATTTGTAAATAGTTTCTCATACACCATAATACTCACTCTATTTATCACATATACTACCATATCTCTTTCTGTAGACTGATATCAGAGAGAAATTATTAAAAGCAAAGGAATACCTAATAACTGGTATGAGGTTCATTTATTTATTTATTTTAACACATAGACATTGGTACAAGGAGGCACCAAATACATATGCGCCACACAAATCTTATTTGATATATGTGAGGGCTGTGATACTGCCCGGGTGCCCAAACCTAAGCAGGTAGTTTCCTTAGGGGGCCACACCCAAAGCCTTCTACCTGAAGGTATGATCCACAAGGCAGTGGAGCAACGTAAGGAGATGCAGTCCCATGGTAGCCGGTGATCAACGATTGGTTCATACGCCATTTGTTCCTTTAGGATACTGGAGCCCATGTCCACGATTGGTTTGGAATCAGGGTTTCGCAACTACCTTAGGTGAATTCTTCATGTCCACCAACCTGGTTAAAGCGCCTGACATTCGCTTTTCGTCCTCTTAATTTCGTAAACAACAGTAATGCCATGAGAAGGCAATGAGTAGGACTTCCTTGACAGAGGCTATATACGCGTGGCCATGTGAGAGCATTTCGAGATGGAGAGCGGACTCTCCCCACTCTCGTCCGTACCAGGGCATTTGGGGGCATTGGTATGAGAAATAATTTAGTGCTCATTATCAGTCTCAATTTTTAAGATAAGTATCACTAAGTTCTATTAAGAGCCTTCAAATACCGAATCCGTTAAGTCCGATGTATTAGCTAATAATAATGTATGACAGTGATTCTATATAGTGTTGAAAATAAATTATGTCATCGCTAAATCCAATATCGTGGTAATGGCACATACTTGTGTGACATCTGTCACAAAAATGTGTGAAATGGTCACCTATTGTTGTTGAACTTCGGTAGTTCTTCACACAATGAGATCATGATGAAATATAATCGAATATTTAATTAGTTTGTTCTAGTTTCTCGTAAATAACGAAATTCCATTTTCTCAGAGAAATTAGAATAATGAGAACTTTATTGCTCCTATAGCTGGAAAAGGAATAAATATCAGGAAACATAACGGTAAGCATACCTAGAAGAGATTTATAAAATTTTTGTTGCCTCTTCACTTAAATGGTGAATTTAATATACAACTTTCTTCCTAACGCTCTCCAATCATATTATATAAGTACACACCAAAGTTAACTGTTTTCCCTCTCTTCATACGCAGTGCTCGTTTGTCAGAAATTAGCTACGTATTCAAAGCGTTGACAGTTATGTTAACATCACTTCAGTCTGTCCCAATACAACATGACGGTAAGTATAAAATTGATGTTTTTGGGTTATATCTTACTCTTTTTAACCTCATACACTAGAAACTCTGTGAACGAGCTGTGTAGGCAAATCCATTAAGCTTTCCTTTATATGTAAATTTGGTTTGAAAAATTGTATTTATCACTGACAGACTTCAATGCCGATACATATAAAAAAACATTTGAAAATGTGACACGTGGATGGGATTGTTCTTCAGGTATGTAGTTTTAAGTTGATATCACTTTAGATGTACCTTTAAGGTTGTTTCATTAACGTCTAGTTGTGTTTACTTTCACAGTAATTACTTCAGTAACCTTCATTTCTTAACTCTGTTAGTTTTATAAGCACCGTTATATAATCAGGACAATTGGAAAATATTTAGTCGTTTTTAAGTTAATACTTTAATAAATCAATGAATTCGCTTATTCTTCGCACTACCGTAACGTGGAAGTGCTCTGTGTCTATATGGATAAATGGATTTTCCACAAAAATCTAAAAGGCGCTTTCTGGTTAATTTATCCGCAGGGTATAATGCCACCATGTTAAGATTGATTTTAGAATTGAGATTTTAGATATTTCATCGATTCGCCTATTAAATACAGTCACCGCCATAAATACACAATCAAATATTCGAATCGAGTACTGCGTTTTATTACTCTTCTTTCCTCAGTTTTCACTCACATAATGACACATCACAAAGATTTTCGAAAATGAGCTTGTGACTGCCACTAAAAGCCTCACATTTGAATTCTCTAGTAAATTCAATAATACGAAGTAAATTGACAATCTCTGTGTAATTGTATATCATCATCAATACGGTTGATATAATGATCTCTTCCATAGCTGTTTATAAGTAGCAGGAAATATGACTTTTGATATAATTAGGAGTCTCTATTGATTCTAATCAACAGATTTTCAGTAGCCAATTACAAAATATTTTTAATGCCACTTCAGTTATTAAATATTCTGCCGGATTACGTAATATTATCATTTTCATTTCATAACTCAACTCATTATTTATGTCATAAATTATACTTTAAAGCACATTCATTCTTTGTAATTAACGTCGTTTACAGATGATTAGAGACTTTGATTTCTTTCTTGTTCTTATCTAATGGAAAGTTAATAATAGCATTAATTATGTAACTTAAAATAGCTATTCACAGAAGAGAATGTCAATTTAATCTACTTACAAATGAAATCATTTTTGCCGATATTATGAGTATTAAAAGTAATGAAATCTGTCAGTTATTGTACATACATCTTAATGATTAGTTTAAATGAACAAGTTTACTTTACACCTTAATTATTTAAACTATTTCCACATTTATGAAATGTTTTTTTCCTTTATTTTCCCATTCTGGTTACTATTATCCTGATATATGATTCAATACCTGTCCAATATACTCAAAATATACAGTGGATGATTCAATCTGGTCTAGTATAATTGAATTATATCCACATATTGTTGATTGTATTCTGGTGACCGGTGGAAGTAATCAAATAGCATTAGCTTTACATCATCTTTTACGACTTTATGGTGAATTTCTTGCTCCATCACATTTACGTCCAGGAGTCAGCAACAATACTACTAATAAAGATTGCAGTAGTATTGTTAATGACAATAATATCAATAGTATGAATATTGAGAATGATATTACCAATAATAATATCAGTCAGAATAAAACATCATTGAATGGAATATAAACGAACTATACGTGATTGGTTTTTGTGAAGAATAATTTTTACATTTGTGATATGTTTTATATGAATTTCTAAATTATATACTTTACTCATTTATTATATGATGGCTGTGGGGATCTTCGTGTAATCTCCTTCCCTCTTTCTCTCTCTCTTTCTTCCTCTCTTCCTCCTCCTTAGTATAATCATTGTCTACCTTTTTTTTAAAGGTTGTTCTACTTTCTATTTACAGTTTATCATACGTAGTTTTATCTTTGTCATGTTTTTTTTCTCTTTGTTCAACTAATTTATGTCAAACATACAAAATATCTTTTGTCCGTTTCCACAGTCATACTTTCCATCTTTGTTTGTTTTTGAGCAAATCAATTAAATTCTTAGTCGATTTGTTTTTCAACTTATATCGTCTAACTTTATTGTTTTGTTTGCTTTTTTTCATTTTAATAATAAGAGACAAATGAAAAATGCTGATTACTTTGTTAAATTACTTTTTATTCTCTATGTAAAACGAATGAATGAAATAAAACTATAATAAGCTATCATAAATTTGATTTTTATTAAAGATTTAATAATGTGAAAGGATTTTCATGATCAATGTAGAATTTTTATACTCACTCTATTTCGGTTTTTATCTATTTCATTTGAAATTACAACATTTTTATTGTTTTGTCAATTGACTGAGTACTAGTTTGATAGTTTGAAATTATTATCTCGTGAATATCAGAAGGGGTTTTGTGGATATTATTAATAATTTCAATGGTTGAGATTATGAGTCAGCTGAAGCTAGACAACATATGCTCACTTGTGACTGACTTCAAGAGGTATATCCTGGAGTTCTAATGAGAAGCAGTGACCAGTGGATTTCAACCAGGTCTGTTGTGAGACAATCACTCATTAAAGACAATGGTGGATGTGTCGCTCAATTTCGTGGATTAGTTAAAGTTAGGCATTAACACCATTGGATGCCGGCTCAGTGGTCTAGTGGCTAAGCACTCGCGTGCGAGGTCCTGAGTTCGAATCTCGCGGGGGATGGGGTCGTGGATGCACACTACTGAGGAGTCCCACAATAGGACGAAACGGCCGTGCAGTGCTCTCAGGTTTCCCATGGTGGTCTAGCTTCAGCTGACTCATGATCTCAACCATTGAAATTATTATCTCGTTGTTGAATGACATTTTTACGAAAATTTAATTAGTCTTAGTTGGAATATGTGAAACCTGTGCAACTTGCCACAATGTAGCCATTATGAAATGAGTTTATTGTGATTAACGGTGGGATCCATGCCGCACATCCTTGGTTGATTGTCAATGTCGCTTATGATACTTATGTCTCCTGAGCTATATTCAGAGGGTTTATTCTGTTTTATATCTCGGATTAGCATCTTGAAAGAATTATAAATATTCTGAAAAATTAATTTACATTTTATTAAAGTTAAATACATTTTGTGGATTTCACTGCAGTTTTTCATCTAAGTACAACTAACCAATCGTTTCATTAGTCTAAAATCAAACAACAATTAGTCCCTAAACTAGTGACCCGACATCGAACGTTGTTCATGTCTAACTAATTAATCCACGACTTTGCGTCACCATCTTTCACGTCTTCAGTGGGTAACTGCTTCACGCCTGACACGAATTAGCTCTACTGGTCACGGCTTCTCACTAGAACTCCGGTAAATTTGTCTCGAAAACAGTCACCTTTACAACTTCTTACTGACTAATTAATACTTTTTGTTCTAGATTTAATTCCGACTACTTAAATATTTTACAATTGGCACCTGAATGAGATATAACAATAGTTGTTTCATTTTCGATGAGAATAGTCAATATTAAAAAACAAACTATTTCTCAACCATTACTTGGTTATACACATGGTTGATTTCCTGCTCTTTCGGTGTAACAGATAAATTTGAGACAAAATTTTGTGACCTCGGACACATTAATCCTAAACCGATACAGCATAAAATTCATTGATTTCGAGTGCCTATGATTATCGTAACTACTAAACACAAAAAGAAGTAAACCCACTTAAATTACTTTTTATTTAAATTTGAATGAAATTTCTCCATCCTAATATAATGAAAATAAATTATATTTGTTCATTGGATATCTCAAAGTGAAAGACTTATGTGAAGTTACTGTTCACTTAA